CACCCATGACATGAGATAAGGTTGATCAAAAATTCACCCCGATTTGCTGCTGACTTCTTGGCCATAACCCATATGACACGTTCGATCGAAGCTAAAAATTAATATTATGCTTGAAAAGGGTATTTGCTAATGTTAGTTATCAGTGTTTCTTTAAGATTTTTTTCTCCAGTTGAGAGGAGGGGGGAGGGGCTATATTTTCCGGGGATGCGGACACAAGTAAAAGTATGTAAAAGTATATATTTTGTAATATAAATTATATTTTCATTGTGGTGGTTGAGGTAGGGGGGACACTAGTTTGGCTCAGATGGCCAAGTTATGACCACGTTTGTCTAGCACTAGTGCCTCCCCCCCCCCCCCGGCCGAAGAAATGCCTAAACAAAACACTTTGTCATTTGTTGAACCTAGAAATCAAACGGCCCACTGCTTCCAGTGCTAAAAAATAAATTTTACCCTAAGGATCTGAAAGAATGGGAAGATAACAGCAATAAAAGTATACCACATTTTTTCAGCAACAGATGGCCAAGTTATGGCCACGTTTGTTCAGCAACTGATGGCCAAGTTATGGCCACATGTTTTAGCAACAGATGGCCAACTTATGACCACGTTTGCTTAATTACAGGTACTTTGTTGGTAGTCTAAATTTGTTATTGTCTAGACAGTAAAACGACGACGTGTGTTCATACTTTGTTGGTAGTCTAAATTTGTTATGGTCTAGAGAGTAAAACGACGACCTGTGTTCATACTTTGTTGGTAGTCTAAATTTGTTATTGTCTAGAGAGTAAAACGACGACGTGTGCTCATACTTTGTTGGTAGTCTAAATTTGTTATTGTCTAGAGAGTAAAACGACGACGTGTGCTCATACTTTGTTGGTAGTCTAAATTTGTTATGGTCTAGAGAGTAAAACGACGACGTGTGCTCATACTTTGTTGGTAGTCTAAATTTGTTATGGTCTAGAGAGTAAAACGACGACGTGTGTTCATTCTTTGTTGGTAGTCTAAATTTGTTATGGTCTAGAGAGTAAAACGACGACGTGTGCTCATACTTTGTTGGTAGTCTAAATTTGCTATGGTCTAGAGAGTAAAACGACGACGTGTGTTCATACTTTGTTGGTAGTCTAAATTTGTTATGGTCTAGAGAGTAAAACGACGACGTGTGTTCATACTTTGTTGGTAGTCTAAATTTGTTATGGTCTAGAGAGTAAAATGACGACGTGTGTTCATACTTTGTTGGTAATCTAAATTTGTTATGGTTTAGAGAGTAAAACGACGACGTGTGCTCATACTTTGTTGGTAGTCTGGATTTGTTATGGTCTAGAGAGTAAAACGACGACGTGTGCTCATACTTTGTTGGTAGTCTAAATTTGTTATGGTCTAGAGAGTAAAACGACGACGTGTGTTCATACTTTGTTGGTAGTCTGGATTTGTTATGGTCTAGAGAGTAAAACGACGACGTGTGCTCATACTTTGTTGGTAGTCTAAATTTGTTATGGTCTAGAGAGTAAAACGACGACGTGTGCTCATACTTTGTTGGTGGTCTGGATTTGTTATGGTCTAGAGAGTAAAACGACGACGTGTGCTCATACTTTGTTGGTAGTCTAGATTTGTTATGGTCTAGAGAGTAAAACGACGACGTGTGCTCATACTTTGTTGGTAGTCTAAATTTGTTATGGTCTAGAGAGTAAAACGACGACGTGTGCTCATACTTTGTTGGTAGTCTAGATTTGTTATGTTCCAGACATGGACGAGATCTAAATGAAAAAAAAGTGCTTTCTATCGGGGCTTCTGTTTATGATATGCAACTTTTGTTGTTGCTGATGTTTTTGTTGTTGGTAATGTTGGTGCTTTATGAAAAAAGAAACACCCAGAACCCGGAATTCTTGCAGAAGTCTGTTTTCATTCGTCAGACGGCGGATTATCCTGTTTACATACAGCCACATGGTTCACATAAAAGTACTTTTTTAGTACAACAATGGTCTTGTTACTATTAATACATCGTATCTGGGTCGAAAATATTTCATCTTCAACCTTTTTGTATCTTCGGGATAAATATATAGGTTACATTGTGTGGAACTATTCCACAAAGACAGAAATATTTAAGCTGGTCTGAAAGAGAGCAATCAATGGTGTGATTGATATAAACACGTCTTATGTGGTTGGTAAAATAAGTTTGATGGGTGCCTCAAGTAATAGTTTAATGGGGTTGGGGGAGGCAAATGTGCAATGTGTTTTTTTAAGATGGCTGATATTTTGATGGTAGATTGTCATTGAGACTGTCCGTGGGATGGTTTGTCTGTGTCAGCTGACTATAGGATGGTATGTCTGTTGGACGTTTTGCTAGTGGGGTGGTTTATACTCCTATAATGGCTTGTCTATAATGCGAGGTGAGAGTATATTTGTTTATCTTTAAAATGGATTGCCCGTCATCTTAAGGTTGTTTTGTGTAACTTGTTAAACTTGCACTGTATGTCTAGATAGCCAAGTGCTCTAACAAGGTAAATTTAGTACAGCTGCATCAACCTAAATTTTTTAATATGTTGACTTACACCATCAAACATTACGTTTGTAATTTTTAAGAGTCACATTTTTCGTCAAACTATGACGCAGCGATGCGAGTCAGTGACTGTTGTGATCGTGTTTGTGTGATAAATGTTTGGCAAGTATAAATTGTAATTACGTCATAGACAGCCCGGCTGTTGTAGACAGGTGTATAGACAGTTATAGACAGGTGTACAGACAGTTGTAGACAGGTGTACAGACAGTTTTAGTCAGGTGTACAGACAGTTGTAGACAGGTGTACAGACAGTTGTAGACAGGTGTACCGACAGTTGTAGACAGGTGTACAGATAGTTGTAGACAGGTGTACAGACAGTTGTAGACAGGTGTACTGACAGTTGTAGACAGGTGTACAGACAGCCAGACAGTTGTAGACAGGTGTACAGACAGTTGTAGACAGGTGTACAGACAGTTGTAGACAGGTGTACAGACAGCAAGACAGTTGTAGACAGGTGTACAGACAGTTGTAGACAGGTGTACCGAACAATCAATCGATCGAATATGGGCGTGATTAGATGCGATCGATGGATTATGGAGACCACATTTTGTTTATTGAAATACCGAAATATTGATTGAAATAAATTAAAAGGTGGCTGCCTCCATAACCACTTCAGTTGTCGTCAATGTAGGTAATCTCTTTAAGCTTGCTGGGTTCTTAAACTCATAATTATGTCACCACTCAGCATGAAGGACGTTTTTTTTTTCGAATACAACTTGGTCTATAAATAAACATTGGCTGTGACAACGGTCAAATTTGTTTAGGTCCACGTTATCGACTAGCTTCTATAGACATGTATGTCATGTTATCGACTAGCTTCTATAGACATGTATGTCATGTTATCGACTAGCTTCTATAGACATGTATGTCAGTGATCGTTTCTGTGTTAATTACATGCACTACAGGTCGTTTTTTTGTCACAACTATAAATACTTTTTGGGTTGCATAATTAAAGATGGGTTTCTATATTCGAATACGCCTTTTATTTTTATTTTCCGTCTTTAAATAAAATTTAGTTTATACTTTTAATACATCCAACATATTATTTTCAACAAAAGTCCGTATCTTTCAGTTCTCCATATATTGCTGAAGATACTGATCTAATAGCCTTGGAAAATATGTGACGGAAATAGAGAGAGAGAGAAGTGCGCACATCGGATTTTATATATTAGGATAATATATATATATTATATATATATATATATATATATATATATATATATATATATATATAATTTTGCACACCTAACTTAAACGGTTTACAAGCTATCAAATTCTTAAGGAAGTTATGTAAAGTACTATTTCGGGTTATTGGAAATTACTCAAAAGTTGACAGAATCTTGTGAATACGATCAAATATGTGAAATTTCGTCGAGCGAACTAAAACGGTGCTCAAGTTATCGGTATTGAAAAAAAGTCTGAACCTCTTCCATTTCCGGAAACAGCTCAAAAGTTGATAGAAACCTTTTAATAGGACCTAATACATAGATATGAAATGTCGTCCACCAAATTAAAACGGTTATCGTTTTCACACACATACACACGCACAAAACTACACACACACACTTACAGACAGAGACACACATACTTGATTGCAAAACTGGGTTTTCCGTCTCTGGAAGCAAAGGCGTAGTGACGAATTCGCCCGGGGCGAGCTAGCGACTTTGCGCCCCCATCCCCATTTATACATCTTTATTCACGTTGGTGAAAAAGCGCCCCCACCCGCCCATCTCCAATTGGAAAGTCCGGGGGGGGGCGCTTTTAAACAGTCATAATCTCTAATTACTTTTTATTTTGGCGTCACACAATGTATGTAAAAATAACTAAGTAATTGGTAAGTAATCCGTAAAGCCAAGTAACTTTTATTGTGTATAATTCAGTAATTGAGCTCAGAATAAGCTTTTCTTTTCAAAGTCCGTTTGGCACCCCCTTAGGTTTGGCGCCCTGGTCGACCGCTCCACCCGCCCTCCCCAAGCTACGCTTCTGTCTGAAAGGTATACATTTACTTTTTTTTCAACGGTTACAATACTTCCATTATTCTCAAAGTCAAAATAAACACATTCAAACATTACACTTCTTTCTACTACAATAATTAGCAATGTTATGTAAGAATGTAGTCAGTTGAAGAGTGTTACATTTTCCACCACGCTACACGCTCGTTTGATGCGGCCGTATTACGTCTGCTAATACCACACCCAGCAATGTAAGATTCTAATCAAATAGGCTTACAGCATGCCATAGAAAACAATGTCCATTGAATGAGCTATTAATAGCTTGTATGAAATTAGTTTAAAAAACTGAGTAAAGTCGAGGCTAGGGCTCTAGTGTAACCTATCCCAGACCCAGGCAGCCTGGACCTGGCACGACCGTCTGACGGCCCGATGTGGCCAACAGTACCGCCCCTTGACGTAAGGCGTGCAGTCATGCGAGACGCGGCTATGTCGATTGAACATAAAGTTCCCAAACTTGATTTTACGGCTAGAAATCTGCTGGAACTGAGACAAAGCTGACACAAGTTCATTGACACGGGATTAGTTACTGACTGTGTTGCCTCCCTTGGAAACTGTTGCGGCGCTTGGATTTCTTATACCAGAGAGTTCATCTAGATAATTGTGTGGAATACATTTTGGTAGATTACAAATTTCTGACTTGTGGCCATGTCAAGGAATTGACGTGCAAGGATGAAAGCTTCTAGCAGCTTCTTGACAACCAGGGTTTTCGTCCTGTCATTACTCGCAGTTTTGGCCGAAGGTAAGACATTCTTTAGACTAATTGATCAATTAGAAGCATGGTAGAATTTAGCTCTAAACAAGGGTGGAGTTGGAATTTAACAGTAAAATCACACTTTCATCGGCTTTGGTCATGACTACGTCCAACTTTTAGCAAACATTTGGAAAATTCACTTACTTAATAGATAATTGTTCGAAGTATCACGAAAACCACTATTCAATGTGTTTCTTTCCCATGTTCCAATATGATGAAATCTAACTTACCTAAGGATTTAGATACATGTTAGTGTTCGAATAACCATCCATCGATTTTGCGCCGAAATATTTTGACTCATGCAACCTTGAAATCTCATCTACTGATTGAACTAATTAAACCACACCAACCTAAGATAAAGATAATTCCATAGATACTTTAATTCCACCGAGGGGGGGGGGGGGGTGAGATCCGGCAACAATCCCAAAATCCCGGCATTGGGACTTTCATTGTTCTAGCCAGCTCTGAGGAAGTAAGGCGATATAGATTTAGATTAAAAAATTACACCGACATAATCCGTCCAGCTACAACTTCTCCTAAACTATAAAGGCGATATAGATTTAGATTTACACCGACATAATCCGTTCAGCTACAACTTCTCCTAAACTATAAAGGCGATATAGGTTTAGATTTACACCGACATAATCCGTTCAGCTACAACTTCTCCTAAACTATAAAGGCGATATAGATTTAGATTTACACCGACATAATCCGTTCAGCTACAACTTCTCCTAAACTATAAAGGCGATATAGATTTAGATTTACACCGACATAATCCATTCAGATATACAGACATTTAGCTGTACAGCTAGTGTACTGACAGCTGTACTGAAAGTTAACTGAACAGACAGCTGTACTGAAAGTTAACTGTCCTGACAGCTGTACTGAAAGTTAACTTTACTGACAGACAGCTGTATTGAAAGTTAACTATATTGACAGACAGCTGTATTGAAAGTTAACTGTAATGAAAGTTGTACTGAAAGTTAACTGTCCTGAAAGTTGTACTGAAAGTTAACTTTACTGACAGACAGCTGTATTGCAAGTCAACTGTACTGACAGCTGTTCTGAAAGTTAACTGTACTGACAACTATACTGGAGGTGTCTAATGTTTATTCCACCCCAGGCGCCACCCCAACCATCGACGCCAGCAGCACCCCCACCGTGGACGAGAACAGTCCAGTGGATACGTATGTTTTCCAGGTGTCTGCTACAGACGCTGATGGTCACGTCCTGACCTACAGTCTGACCACGGCCGCCATCTTTAAGATCGACTCAAGTGACGGTAAAGTCAGGGTCAGCACCGCATCTTTGGACTATGAAACAACAAAGTTTTATATTATTGTGGTCCAGTAAGTTCTTTTAAAAAAAAAAATTAAAACTTAAAAATTGTCTGAGTTGCAGTTCTCAGACTATAACTCATAACATTGTAAATGTCACGTGACTCCTGCGATGCCAGTCTGTGAACTAGTCTAACAGTTTGACAGAAAATTGGCTAGAAAATTTCCTCTTGATGCTAAAAGATTTGATGAAAGAATCACACGAACTAACTTAAATTTTAGACTACTTGATGCTAAAAGATTTGATGAAAGAATCACACGAACTAACTTAAATGTTAGACTACTTGATGCTAAAAGATTTGATAAAAGAATCACACGAACTAACTTAAATGTTAGACTACTTGATGCTAAAAGATTTGATGAAAGAATCACACGAACTAACTAAAATTTTAGACTAGAAATTTAGGAGAAGGTCTTGATTTACCGATGTTATTTTGGCAGAGTTGTCGACACAGCATCAAACACAGCCAGTGCCACCTTCACGGTCAGCGTGAACGACCTGAACGACAACATCCCAGTCATCACTGCCACTGACGTGGACAACACCATCGACGAGGAGAAGCCATCCGGCACCAACGCTGGCTTTTTGTTTTCCGCCTCTGATGCTGATGCTGGCACAACACTAGTGTACACCCTCACAGGTCAGTTATTTTACTTCAATGGTCAGCTGTTTGTCGTTGAATGGACTGTCATTTTACTTGAATGGGGTGTCGTTATTCCTTGAATGGGCATTCATCTTACTTGAACGTGCATTCATCTTACTTGAATGGACAGCCGAATTCCTAGACCGTTATGGACAGTCCTAGCTTTTTCTATTATGTCACAGATACATTAGCAAGTGGACAGTATGAGAATATGTAAAGGTTTCATGTTGTATAAGCAAGTAAAAAGTGTGAACTTTCAATGGGTCTAAGAAAATATTAGAATGTTGAACTTGTAATGTGGTTTAGTCTAGGTTGGCTAGTATGATGATGTGAGTTTGTAGTGTGGTCAAGTCTAGATTAACTAGTATAAATGTATTCACGCTTGTGATTCAAATAGAAAGTATATTGTCCTCAACATCAAAAGTGGTTGGTTAATGAATGATAACTATCTTAAATGAATTATAAAAGAGAAGTGGGTCATCTATTTATGACGTCCACACGGAGGGGTAGGAAGGGGGGGGGGGGTACACAAATCTACGTCTGTTGGTGTGTGGGGACTGGGTTCACGTAGACTACTACAGGTAGAGTTCGACGTCCAAGTGCTTACAAGTTTAAAACAAACACAAAACTCGTTCCTGCATGTAAACAGTAACATTAAGAGGACAGTACCCTCCCGACGTGTAAATAAAACTTTATTTATACCTACCCTAGAGTTTAGGTGAGGTCACAATTTTAACGATTTTTATACTCCCCCCCCCCCCTTACTTCAAAGTGCAGCAACGGTTTAAATTCAGTTTCTAACATGACTGAAAAAGTTTGTCGTCACCCAGTCTGAAAACCCCATCCCGCCCCTCAGGATTGTGACGTCATTTATGGACGACCCCCTAATAAAAAAAACACCAGGAGTGGAGGGGGGGGGGGGGTTCGTCGAAGGTGGATGCGTGTGGACGGTGGGAGGAAGTGGTTCTAAAAAAATTTGGTCGTCATAAATGGATGACTCGTATGTGTCGTTTCTCTAAAACCAGGCTCTGACTCAGCCTACTTCGTCATTGACCAATCAAACGGCGACATCACACTCAACTCTAAAATTGATGTGGATCCTGCACGGGCGAACATTGTCTATCGTCCAGTGCTCCGTGGTGAGTAGCACACATGTTAAGTACTACATGGTGAGTAGCACACATGTTAAGTACTACATGCTGAGTAGCATACATGTTAAGTACTACATGGTGAGTAGCACACTTGTTAAGTACTACATGGTGAGTAGCTAACATGTTAAGTACTACATGCTGAGTAGCATACATGTTAAGTACTTCATGCTGAGTAGCACACATGTTAAGTACTACATGGTGAGTAGCACACATGTTAAGTACTACATATGAGTAGCACACATGTTAAGCACTACATGGTAAATGGTGAATAGCAAGCAAGTAGAAAGTACTATTTATTAGTTGCGCTTTTGCGAACTTAGCTTCATCTGTCGGTTATTGTACTGTATCTTTTTTATGAAAACAAATTTATTTTAATTGGTTTCAAATTAAAGATAGCTTTATAAATATATTATAGTCTCTGATGGCACAAAATCAGCCACTATGACCTTGACCCTTACGGTACAAGATATCAATGACAACACCCCTTCATGTTCACCAGCGATTGTTTACAAGTCTCTTCAAGAGGGCGCCACTAGTAAGTAGAACATTTAACTAAGAAGCCACTAGAAAACTTTAAAACCGCCTACATGCATCAGGGACTCTTCTGAAAGTATGGTCCCAAGTTTTAAAAACTAACATAAATATTGATCATATAACTCTATTAGAGTTACCTGGCTAGTTTTTGTAAAAGAAAACATTTTAGAAATATTGTTTTTAAATTTAAACAATTTAAAAAAGTCTAGTGACAATTTTAGCGCAATTTCCTTGTGTTATCTAAAAATAGCTCTGTCGTAGCGTAAATCAAGAGCAGGGTTAGTAAAACCATTGGTTAGTTATTAAAACGTTTTTTATTTTTAAAAAATTCAGTATTTTACATGTTTTATTTACAATAGAGTAACATGACTAAAAACCATTGCGCGCCCAGCTACCGAACGTGACGTCGCAGCCATTGAACGTGATGGCGCAGCTATTGAACGTGATGACGCGTGTGGTGTGGTTGCATAAAATGCCTACTAATTCGGTCCAAATTTTAATTAATTCAAAAAAAAAGGTTGTAACCGAACGAAAGGATATTTTTGAAAACTTTCTTCGGCAATATTGTTCTAAATTATGGCAGGAATCGATTGGTACATATTTCAAGTCGCTAAGGGGTCTGGTTGCCGAGATATGGGCCAAAAACGGCATTTTTCGAGGTTTTTTGGCTTTTCCGGGAAATCCATGAAAGAAACCCGGAATTTTTATGGCCTATGTTAATCCTCGTAACTTGCTTAACATAACTGCTTTTGGAACTAGTCCTCGATATTGCTTCGTTGAGGAGGAGATACGACTTAAAGCTGCGGACACACATCCATCCATCTATTCATCCATTCCCAGAAAAGACGATTTAATAAACGCAATTCTCCAGAATGGAAATTGCGCTAAAAAATTTTTATGCTAAATATTATGGTATTTTACCATACATATTTTGAAAAATATCTTACTCTATTTAAGTTAGTTTAGAGGTTTAGAGTTATACTCTCTCGTTTATTTATCTCTCCAAGTACATGCCTTTATACTCTCTCACCTATTTATCTCTCCAAGTACATGCCTTTATACTCTCTCGTCTATTTATCTCTCCAGGTACCGGCCCTTATACTCTCTCGTCTATTTATCTCTCCAGGTACCGGCCTTTATATACTCTCGTCTATTTATCTCTCCAGGTACCGGCCTTTATATCCTCTCGTCTATTTATCTCTCCAGGTACCGGCCTTTATATCCTCTCGTCTATTTATCTCTCCAGGTACCGGCCTTTATATCCTCTCGTCTATTTATCTCTCCAGGTACCGGCCTTTATATACTCTCGTCTATTTATCTCTTCAGGTACCGGCCTTTATATCCTCTCGTCTATTTATCTCTCCAGGTACCGGCCTTTATACTCTCTCGTCTATTTATCTCTCCAGGTACCGGCCTTTATACCCTCTCGTCTATTTATCTCTCCAGGTACCGGCCTTTATACCCTCTCGTCTATTTATCTCTCCAGGTACCGGCCTTTATATACTCTCGTCTATTTATCTCTCCAGGTACCGGCCTTTATATCCTCTCGTCTATTTATCTCTCCAGGTACCGGCCTTTATACCCTCTCGTCTATTTATCTCTCCAGGTACCGGCCTTTATACCCTCTCGTCTATTTATCTCTCCAGGTACCGGCCTTTATACCCTCTCGTCTATTTATCTCTCCAGGTACCGGCCTTTATATCCTCTCGTCTATTTATCTCTCCAGGTACCGGCCTTTATATCCTCTCGTCTATTTATCTCTCCAGGTACCGGCCTTTATACTCTCTCGTCTATTTATCTCTCCAGGTACCGGCCTTTATACCCTCTCGTCTATTTATCTCTCCAGGTACCGGCCTTTATATCCTCTCGTCTATTTATCTCTCCAGGTACCGGCCTTTATATCCTCTCGTCTATTTATCTCTCCAGGTACCGGCCTTTATACTCTCTCGTCTATTTATCTCTCCAGGTACCGGCCTTTATATCCTCTCGTCTATTTATCTCTCCAGGTACCGGCCTTTATACTCTCTCGTCTATTTATCTCTCAAGGTACCGGCCTTTATACCCTCTCGTCTATTTATCTCTCCAGGTACCGGCCTTTATATCCTCTCGTCTATTTATCTCTCCAGGTACCGGCCTTTATATCCTCTCGTCTATTTATCTCTCCAGGTACCGGCCTTTATATCCTCTCGTCTATTTATCTCTCCAGGTACCGGCCTTTATATCCTCTCGTCTATTTATCTGTCCAGGTACCGGCCTTTATATCCTCTCGTCTATTTATCTCTCCAGGTACCGGCCTTTATATCCTCTCGTCTATTTATCTCTCCAGGTACCGGCCTTTATACCCTCTCGTCTATTTATCTCTCCAGGTACCGGCCTTTATATCCTCTCGTCTATTTATCTCTCCAGGTACCGGCCTTTATATCCTCTCGTCTATTTATCTCTCCAGGTACCGGCCTTTATACCCTCTCGTCTATTTATCTCTCCAGGTACCGGCCCTTATACTCTCTCGTCTATTTATCTCTCCAGGTACCGGCCTTTATATACTCTCGTCTATTTATCTCTCCAGGTACCGGCCTTTATATCCTCTCGTCTATTTATCTCTCCAGGTACCGGCCTTTATATACTCTCGTCTATTTATCTCTCCAGGTACCGGCCTTTATACTCTCTCGTCTATTTATTTGTCCAGGTACCGGCCTTTATACCCTCTCGTCTATTTATCTCTCCAGGTACCGGCCTTTATACTCTCGTCTATTTATCTCTCCAGGTACCGGCCTTTATACTCTCTCGTCTATTTATCTCTCCAGGTACCGGCCTTTATATCCTCTCGTCTATTTATCTCTCCAGGTACCGGCCTTAATATCCTCTCGTCTATTTATCTCTCCAGGTACCGGCCTTTATATCCTCTCGTCTATTTATCTGTCCAGGTACCGGCCTTTATACCCTCTCGTCTATTTATCTCTCCAGGTACCGGCCTTTATACCCTCTCGTCTATTTATCTCTCCAGGTACCGGCCTTTATATACTCTCGTCTATTTATCTCTCCAGGTACCGGCCCTTATACTCTCTCGTCTATTTATTTGTCCAGGTACCGGCCTTTATACCCTCTCGTCTATTTATCTCTCCAGGTACCGGCCTTTATATCCTCTCGTCTATTTATCTCTCCAGGTACCGGCCTTTATATCCTCTCGTCTATTTATCTCTCCAGGTACCGGCCCTTATACTCTCTCGTCTATTTATCTCTCCAGGTACCGGCCTTTATACCCTCTCGTCTATTTATCTCTCCAGGTACCGGCCTTTATACCCTCTCGTCTATTTATCTCTCCAGGTACCGGCCCTTATACTCTCTCGTCTATTTATTTGTCCAGGTACCGGCCTTTATACCCTCTCGTCTATTTATCTCTCCAGGTACCGGCCTTTATATCCTCTCGTCTATTTATCTCTCCAGGTACCGGCCCTTATACTCTCTCGTCTATTTATCTCTCCAGGTACCGGCCTTTATACCCTCTCGTCTATTTATCTCTCCAGGTACCGGCCCTTATACTCTCTCGTCTATTTATCTCTCCAGGTACCGGCCTTTATACCCTCTCGTCTATTTATCTGTCCAGGTACCGGCCTTTATATCCTCTCGTCTATGTATCTGTCCAGGTACCGGCCTTTATACCCTCTCGTCTATTTATCTCTCCAGGTACCGGCCTTTATATCCTCTCGTCTATTTATCTATCCAGGTACCGGCCTTTATACTCTCGTCTATTTATCTCTCCAGGTACCGGCCTTTATATCCTCTCGTCTATTTATCTATCCAGGTACCGGCCTTTATACTCTCGTCTATTTATCTCTCCAGGTACCGGCCTTTATATCCTCTCGTCTATTTATCTCTCCAGGTACCGGCCTTTATACCATCTCGTCTATTTATCTCTCCAGGTACCGGCCTTTATATCCTCTCGTCTATTTATCTCTCCAGGTACCGGCCTTTATACCATCTCGTCTATTTATCTGTCCAGGTACCGGCCTTTATACCCTCTCGTCTATTTATCTCTCCAGGTACCGGCCTTTATATCCTCTCGTCTATTTATCTCTCCAGGTACCGGCCTTTATATCCTCTCGTCTATTTATCTCTCCAGGTACCGGCCTTTATACCCTCTCGTCTATTTATCTGTCCAGGTACCGGCCTTTATATCCTCTCGTCTATTTATCTCTCCAGGTACCGGCCTTTATATCCTCTCGTCTATTTATCTCTCCAGGTACCGGCCTTTATATCCTCTCGTCTATTTATCTCTCCAGGTACCGGCCTTTATATCCTCTCGTCTATTTATCTCTCCAGGTACCGGCCTTTATATCCTCTCGTCTATTTATCTCTCCAGGTACCGGCCTTTATATCCTCTCGTCTATTTATCTCTCCAGGTACCGGTCTTTATATCCTCTCGTCTATTTATCTCTCCAGGTACCGGCCTCTACACCTTAACCTGCTCCGATAGAGATGCTGGGGCCAACAGCAACCTGGTCTACTCCATCCAGTCAGGGGACACCAGCAAATTTAGGTTGGTTTATAGGCTTATATAAACCTTCGTTTAGATTATCTCAACCTCGATTGTGGTAACTGATTAAGATCTGTTAAAGTAAGGTTATACATCAACATTAAATTATTTTAAATTTCAAGAATCTGAAAAGCAGTTTGTTTGTTCATTTGTTCTTGTTTTTTAAATATTAACATTAGCTAAATTGAAATTCGGCTCAAGTGAATTTTATGTTTTTAAATTAGTTGAATAGATTTAATCTAAATTTCGAATTCATTCAAAATTGATATTTTTCCAGCGTGGACATTTCTGGTAAGATCAAGGTGGACAACGCCGTGGACTATGAGACTGTGACGTCAGAGACGCTAGAGATCAAAGTGTCTGACTCACCTACAGATACGTCACTCACCAGATCAACCACAGTCACTGTCATCGTGTCGGTTAGTAGGACACAGACTTTCTTTCAAACATCTCCTGGGGGGGGGGGAGAGATTGCTTATAATTTATATAGAAAATAAATACTCTAACCAATCCCCCCTTGAAAGTTTCAAGTGCACTCCCCCCCCCCTTCTATACAATAAATATTATGTTCTGTTTGTTTAATTATACCATTTTAAATAGCTATTAAGTATAATGAAAGCCTAGGTTTCTATAACAACTAAATATAATGAAAGCTTAGGTTTCTATAAGAACTAAATATAATGAAAGCCTAGGTTTCTATAACAACTAAGTATAATGAAAGCCTAGGTTTCTATAACAACTAAGTATAATGAAAGCCTAGGTTTCTATAACAACTAAATATAATGAAAGCCTATGTTTCTGTAACAATTAAGTAGGCCTATAACTGAGTTGTATATCTGCTGCAGATAACTCCAGTGAATGACAACACTCCACAATGGGCGACATGGTCACCTGCCCTCACCTCCAACACCTACCACGTGTCAGAGAATGTCGCCGTAGGGACGACTTTATTCGTCATGTCGGCTAAAGACGCTGACAAAGACGTTGGTGGAACTCTGACTTACAGCATCAAGATTTCGTCTGATCGTAAGTCAACTCTTAGCGTCACGCAAGAATTTTAATGTTTACAAACTCTCAAATAATAAATTGTTGTGTTTTAAATTACTAGAGTAAAATAACTACTTCTTTGCCTTGAAGTTTTTCCCACACTTTTCCAGCTAGCAAGTTTGCCATGGACTCGACCACAGGTGCGGTCACTTTAAAGAGTGGACTTGACCGTGAGAATGGCGTCGTTTCCTACACCCTTGAACTTGCGGTAAGAAAATTATATCCAAGTTTGTTACTAGTCAAGTGGTATGTTGTTTTGTTTATAAGCGAACATCCTTATAACCCACGGGTCAAAACACCTCAATGGTAGCCATGACGCTAGGCTGGTGGACTGTGGTGAAGTGGGAGGGGGGGGGGAGTTGTGAATAGATCAATCTTAATGGTCCCGTGCTAATGTTGCTTGTTGGTGGCACATCGTCCTAATATAGCACCCGTAGTGTTCCTACGTTTATTTCACTCATCAATCACACAACAGGTCGCTTAGTGAAAGATTTATCGTGCGTTCCTTTGGAGTTGAAAAATTAAAGCTGGACCCAGTCGCGTCACAAGGCGGGGTGTGGGGGATGTCCGGACTGCACCGTGTGATACTATCCGGGATAGGGGCGATAACTTGCCTATATTTTAGTTTATCATCACCGGATGGTAGAGCGGGCTACTGCTAATCCGAAAGTCTCGAGTTCGGATCTCCAGCTGAGCTTTGTTGGGTCTCTGACTCACGTTGGGGAAACAAAGCGGCAGGGCATAGTGTTGACCACACTATCCCTTCATATGCCGTGGTCGCAGGAACATAGGATAACTGTTAGTATACCACACATAGTGTAACTTTTGTTGGGGTGGGTGGGGGGGGGGGGGGACGCCCTGGATTACCACACCGGGTTGCACCCGACCTAGTAACGCCACTGCTCAGTTTTAAAGGCTAGCTTAAAATCAAACATTGTGGAGCTAGACACGTAGAATCAGGCAGTGGGCGTGGCATGGTCTAGATCAAATCATGACTGAAAATGTGGTTCACCGAATATGTACTTCGGATTCCGGCCCGACATTTTCAGAGATTCGCAGTAGGCCGTTTTTTTTTCTTTTGAGTGCCAGCTAGGCGGTCAATTAAGATTGTATTAAAATAAATCGAACTGTTAATTAAAATATACTCCCAGTTATTTAATTAAAAATTAGTTTCAATAGATGTATGAAACAAATTACTTTAATTAATTGTGTTTATGTTCATCACATCCCAGGTGACTGATGGAACCACAGCACTCTCTGCCACAGTGACACTTAGCGTTGATGGATACAATGACAATGTTCCCGTGTTTTCTTCTACACCTTTCTCTATCAAGTTGATAGGTGAAGCCGCTGCAAAAACAGGCTCAGTTTGTACTACGGTGGGTTGATCGTTGATAAACTAGATTGTTGATAACTATATAGGAGCCCACTAGATATGTTACAGTAAGTTGAAAATTGATTAACTAGATAATTGATAAACTAGATGGTTGATAACTAGAGGTGACCATCATATTGACTGTATAGGGGCGTACTTGATGTGTCAGTGAGTAGGACATTGATTAAATAGAGGTGACTACGGTCTGTTGATACCTCATTTCTTACTGCAGTTCCAAACATTAGCTCTTACGCATTTTTTGGGTGGTATTTCTGTCACAATTAAGTAAAACCTATGCAACAACTGGCAACTTGTTATTTTCTTGTATACAGAGCACAAAAATGTACACAAAAATCAAATGAAATTTTGAGTTTTCGCCGTTTTACACTTCCATACTTTATCGTATATAGATCTACGGAGTATAGAAGACTCTAATACGCGACAAAAAAGCAAAAGCAAGATTTTATTAACTAGATCTAGTCCCTGATTAGGAAAAACATTGTTTTGCATTTTATCAGCGTGCATGTGTGTCTGTAAATTTGGTTACTTGAGTTCCGTGCAAGTAATGTCGACAAAATTTCATACATAGGTAATGTATCACATGTTTAGTTTTATTTCAACATTCAAGCTAATTCCATCACGCGAAAATTGCACTTATTTTACTTACGGTTTGTCAATAACTTGGGTACCTTTTAGTTAGACTAATTGGTTTGTATTGCATTGTATGCGCAGGTTTCTAACAACTTTTGAAAGATTTTTGGTAACCGGAAGTATAATTTAATCTATTTCAATGGGAACACAATAACTTGAGTATACTCCATTATTTATTTCTGTATAAGCTGATAATTTTACTTTATGAATATCCCGCTTAAGCTAAACTTTGATCCTACAAATCCTGATTTTCGCTAGCCACTGTGTCTTGTAGGATTGAAACTACCGCGAGAGGAGGTGAAAATATATATTTTCTATTTGAGTTCTCATTTCCTCTTTTTTTTTTAATTTACGATGTGGAGGGCGGAGGGAGGCAAAAAAAAATCGGATGTCTGAAAAAAAAAAACAGTTGTTCATCACGTTCCAGAGAAATACTGGTATCGTTTGTTATAATCCCCTATAGAAGTTGTGTGGTAGTGGATCACTTTGTCCTATAGAAATCCAGATACAGTTTGTCATTATGCCCTATAGAAATATTGTTGTAGTGGATCACTTTGTCCTATAGAAATCCAGATACAGTTTGTCATTATGCCCTATAGAAATATTGTGGTAGTGGATCACTTTGTCCTATAGAAATCCAGATACAGTTTGTCATTATGCCCTATAGAAATATTGTTGTAGTGGATCACTTTGTCCTATAGAAATCCAGATACAGTTTGTCATTATGCCCTATAGAAATATTGTGGTAGTGGATCACTTTGTCCTATAGAAATCCAGATACAGTTTGTCATTATGCCCTATAGAAGTATTGTTGTAGTTATCACCTTTGTGTATTGTTGCTCAGGTTGCCGCCACTGATGCTGATATAGATCCTTCATCAACTTTAACCTTCAGTGTTGACGGCGTGTCTCCAGGCTCTGGTAAGTCTTGTCCACTTGACCGTCCCATCCTGAACATAACACTATGACTTACTCGTCTCAGACTAAACCTAGCACCAAAACTTACCCATCCCATACTAAACATATCACTAAGACTTACCTTTCATGCTAAACCTAGCACCAAAACTTACCCATCCCAGACTAAACCTAGCACCAAAACCTACCCATCCCATACTAAACCTAGCACCAAAACTTACCCATCCCATACTAAACCTAGCACCAAAACTTACCCATCCCAGACTAAACCTAGCACCAAAACTTATCCATCCCATACTAAACATATCACTAAGACTTACCTGTCATGCTAAACCTAGCACCAAAACTTACCCATCCCTCCCATAATAAACCTAGAACTAAAATTAACTGTCCTAGCCTTAAGACCACCATGACGGACGAACGAGCAGATATCTACCACCCAGAGGCGGGGCGGGAGCGGGGCGGGGGGTGCGGACCGCACCGAGTGACACCCTTTAGGGGGGTGACACCAAGGCAAAAAATTGCAAAATGTCCAGACTATAGTTTAACATCGTTACTATTAAGTCTGCAGTGATTATAGCTTACACACATACATGTACCCGTATGTGGCTTATATTTAAGTTATAGTTCTATGCAGAGGCGTAGCGACCCTTCCCGGCGCCCGGGGACAAACTTTCGATTTGCACCCCCCCCCCTCAAAATTTCGCTTTGCACCCCCCTCAAACTTTCGATTTGCACATCCCCCCCCCCCTCTCAAGCTTTCAATTTATTTTTCCATATAAGTCCCCACCGCCCCCCCCCCTCGCTACGCCTCTGGTTCTATGTAGGCCGACACACACACACACACATATATATAAATAAATAAATAAATAAATAAATATATATATATATATATATATATATATATATATATATATATATATATATATAATATATATATAAATATATAAATATATATATATATACATATATATATATATATATATATATATATATATATATATATATATATATATATATATATATATATATATATATATATATATATATATATATATATATATATATATATATATACTTTGTTTCTTGGGGGTGGGGTGGGGGGAGACACCACGAAGTACCGTACCGGGAGACACCGACCTAGCGACGCCACTGCTACCACCAACTATCCAAACTAGCTGTACCACTACCAGATTTATGCTTCTAATGTTTGTTTTTATAACTTTCCCCTCAAACGATATTAAGAAAAAATTACTGTCTTTGTACTGTTAGTAGGCCCATTTCGCACTCACATACACCATACTAACACATTTCACACATACGCACACAACCATACATACACACTTTCCCAATTATTTTATTATTTTAAACTGTGGACACTTTAGTTTCTCCAATATAAATAAGACCAAGTATATTTTTAAAAAAATAATAATAACTTAACGGATTGGGGAAAACAACAATATTTATAACCTGAATGAAGAATTAAAACGTTAAACTTAAAGATAAATAACTCTCAAAATGCTATTATATTTAGCATGCAGGGGCGTAGCGAGGGGGGGGGGGGCGGGGGGTGCGGACCGCACCGGGTGTCACCATTTAGGGGGGTGACACCAAGGCAAAAAATAGCAAAATATATAAAGAAAAACTTGAAAGTTTGTCCCCGGGAAGGGTCGCAACGTCTCTGGGGGGGGGGGGGGGGGTGACACCATTAAGTGCCGCACCGGGTGACACCCGACCTCGCTACGCCACTGTTAGCATGTGATGTTTCTCTATAAGCCATTGTCACAATATATTACGTTATTTTAATGGCAAAAGTTTACAAATAGTAGTAGGTTATCTGCCTTCTAATACATTAGTTGGAAAAATCGTAAGCTTTGGTCTTTAGTACGTCCAAACGTTAAACAATGTTATAGATTTTAAAAGCGCATTTGCATAATTATAATCAAACATATTTGCGAGTATGGCTAGATTTATTTCTTTTCAATCGATTTCTTGCATAACATCTCTGGACAAATGACAGTATGTAAATTTCACAAAACAGTGTCAAAAACTACTCAACATATAGGCTAACCGTGTAATAATAAAGTTTTTGCTCTGGTCAGTCGGTGACTGGCTGTTTGCAGGGCCTGTACTTCAGTTCAACACTGACTTTGACCTGGATGTTGTGGGAACATCAGCTCTTCAAGTTCTACGGGTAGGTTATATATATATATATATATATATATATATATATATATATATATATATATATATATATATATATATATGTATATATATATATATATATATATATATATATATATATATATATATATATATATATATATATATATATATATGCTTCTTGGGAAGGGGGTGGGTGTCCCCCCCCCTATACCCGAAGAGATGCCTGAAAGAAACTTTTCCCCTATTTGGATATTCAAACGGGAACAACGTGGGTCTCGTAAATATTAGTAAAGGTATCCAATAGATAATAAAGTGGCCCATGCTTTTCTTTATTGTTATTTAAATGGTAGTCTATTACTAAATATTTAAAGAAACTCATTTATTTTCTACTTTTTAGCGCATTAGTATATAAAAGCTTGTTATTAAAACGTTTTTTATGATTTTTTTTATTGCACAATTGATGATTCCTGGTTGTGAGTTAAGGAATTGTTGCGCAGCATGACCAATAAAAGAAGTATGAGTGACACTTTTTACAAACCTTGTCGTTGATCACGAATTGAACAATCGGAAAATACACGTAAATTAGGGATTGCGCAATAAGGATTGATGAGCGGTGGAAGATTTCATCCACTTTTATACTTTGAGCTGCAAAAAAAAAAAAAAATGGAAATTTATGTGATGATCCATCTGTTCTTCTTCTTCTTCGTTCTTAATTATTAGTGTTGAAGGGGATCGAGATATATGTGCCAGTGGGTTTGATCTCGAGTCTTTTTCGAATTTATCAACCATGAGCTTTTTGCCGACTCGACCACGCCTCCGACGCAATTAAGGATACGTGTCAACTGGTTAAGCGCTATTGAGGCCATTGACTCCGATTTCAGCCTGCTTTTCTTTTTGGATTTGCTTCCATAGCCTTTGTCCAATCAAGAACAAGCTACAAGGCAGCAGTTGTTTTATTTTGGAGTTGTCTCTCCTAGAAGAGTGGCTGTCCCCAGCAGCTAACGAGTCTCATCTGCCCGAGGGTTCGAACTCGGGACTTTTCGGTTCAGCAACCATGAGCTTTATCGACTTAACCACGCCGACCCTAATCCATCTGTTGAACGTCCATGCCCACAGCTTGTTTTAGCGACTGGTATGGGGGAGGAAGAAATCTATCTGTTATTAAGCTGAAATCCGAGCTTCTTGGTTTTGAACAACATTTACCATCGTGTATTTTACAATCTGAGTCAAATAGTGGCTAGTTCTCACATGAATATCGTGCAAACTCTGGTCATTTCAGAGCGGAGAATTTTCTAACAGTTCTGACGCTTCTTTTCTGTGTGCGCTTTTTTCTCTTTGCGCTTTTTTCTCTTTGCGCTTTTTTCTGTGTGCCTTTTTTTTTTCTTTGCGCTTTTTTTCGTGTGCGCTTTTTTCTCTTTGCGCTTTTTTCCGTTTGCGCTTTTTTCTGTTTGCACTTTTTTCTGTGTGCGCTTTTTTCTGTTTGCGCTTTTTTCTCTTTGCGCTTTTTTCTGTGTGCGCTTTTTTCTCTTAGTGCTTTTTTCCGTGTGCGCTTTTTTCCGTTGCGCTTTTTGTTTTACGCTTTTTTTCCGTTGCGCATTTTTCCGTTGCGGTTTTTTCTGGGAACCCGAAAATATAGCCCTTTTCATTTTCCTCCACTTGTCAACGACTTCTTTTTGGAAAATCTTTTTACTCTTTTATGATCTGCCAGTACGTAGGACGTAGGCATAAAAATACACTGGAGCATTTTATTTCTATCCATGATTAACCAAAACAACTTTAGTGACTGTTGAATATAAAGATAGTTCAACCAAAACGAATATGGCAAAGATAGATCTACGGCTAAAATAAAATTTTGAAGTTAATTTTATTTCAGCTGATTGTAAAAGACGGCGGCTCACCGGAACTGACAGGGACAGCAACTCTGACAGTCAGCATTGTAGCAGACAACGAATTTGCTCCAACCATTCAATCCCAGACTGCTGGAGATGTAACGGTCAGCCTAACAATTAGTTTTACATGAATCTAGATCTAGGCTAGATCTAGATAATCTTTTTTTATCTAGATCTAGATCTAGTCTAGATCTAGAAATCTAGTCTAGATCTAGATCTAGATGGTCTAGCTCACTAGCAAGTAGCTAGACTAGTCTAGATCTAATATCAGTATCTAGATCTAGATCATCTAGATCTAGATCTAGATCTAGATGTAGATAAAAAAAGATTATATATAGTCTAGAATTCTAGATCTATACTATTACTATAATAATACTAATTATATTATATAATATATAGAATCTAGATCTAGATCTAGATCTAGTATTTATTTAGAATTCTAGATCTAGACTATTCTAGATCTAGATCTAGATTCTATCTTAGATATAATATAATAATTAATATTCTATCTATCATCACTATAAGACTATAAGTAAGAGTATAACACTAGAAATCTAAGTCTTACATTTTTTTTTACACAAAAATCTACCAGGTACCTGAGAATGAGGCTATTGGCACATCTGTGGCTGAAGTTGTTGGACAGGACAAAGATTTGGGAACAGAGGGACAACTTGTCTATAGATTCTGTGAGTCATGATTAATGGATTCATTGAGATTTTTATTTTTGCTACCATTGTTCTTAACCAGAAAATAGAAAAAATTATATTATAAGGTAGGTTAGTAGTAAGTTAGTAGAAGGGTTGTTTTTATAAGGGCAGAAGATATCTCAAGGTAGTCTTTGCTAGTGTGCTCTCCAACTCCAGTTTTTGTTCCAACCCAATCATATCCCTATCTTTACCCTCAGCCTTATTCTAAACCTGACCATAGTGATCCTGATAGTAAGTAAAAATAACATCATACAATTGTATGATCTTATCACCATTTTTATAAGAACAAAAACAATCTAAGAATGTTACTTATGCAAGTCATTTTTCTAAAATCAGTTTGATCAGATTTTTAAACTTTGACCTACAATTAGGATTGATGAATTAGGTGTTTAAGTTGTTACTCTAAGGATTTAAAATATGCACCAATATAGGCCCTAATGTATGCTGAAAGTTTTCTGAGCATAGAGTTTCATTTTATTCAGTGTCAGTCTATATTATTCTTTACTGTTCATTTTATTACCTCCTAGTGAAATATTGACAGCTTATATCGAGTTGACAGTCTTTTGTTGATATCTTGAGTGATTTTACAAAACAATTGTCATGTAATCATACATAATATTCTATGTTTTTCTGAAACTATATGTAATGTAGTGAATTGCATCTTACAATGTTTCATATAATTTTTATTTCTAGCATCAGGGAATATAAATGATGCCTTCACAATAGATTCCAGTGGAATTATAAAAACTCAACAAACATTGGATTATGACACTGGTACAAAAACATATACACTTGTAGTTGAAATCAAGGACTCTGGAAATGCTCCCATACAGTAAGATAATATTTCTTAATGGATTTGTACTTTGTGATACTAAGAAGCATTTTATCTTATAGTTTAAATATATCTGCTATCTACATCATATACTAAATGAATTTAAAGCTTTAATAGTTTGTATTTAATTAAATACTTTAAAAATCCTATTTAGAATTTACTTTTCTCACAGTTCAATTTTGTTTCAGTGAGCTTGGTCCTTTTAAAGTGATGGATGCTTATAGGAAATTTATTCAATTTACGTCTCTTTTTTTTCAAACTACAGGCCCGTATGAACTTCTCATTTTTTAATTCCTCAGTTCAGTTTCTGCCACAGTGACCATTAAAGTGACAGATGTCAATGACAACCAGCCAACATGTCCAAGCTACTTTAAATATGTGACATTGCTTGAAACATCTCCAGCTGACAGCGAGGTATGGTTTTAGTGCGAAGCAATTGATCCCTTATATATCACATTCAATTGGCTAGATTAGCATCTATGATGAATCATATGATATATAATATATTGCTTAAATAAAGTAGAATAGTAGAAATAAAAGGACAAATTATGGTACAGATATGTTATGTTTTTACAGCAAAGTAATTCAAATTTATGAATAATTTTTAAAAATTTTATTTCCTTAATTTAAAACAAAAAAAAGTTGTTCTATACAAGAGATATAATACAAAAATGTTTAATTGTTTTATTTGTCTAGGTGTTGACCATGTCCTGCACTGATGCTGACTCAACAGACACACTCACTTACAGTGTTACTACACCATTTTATTTCCCTGCTTCACCAAACCAAAACAAAATGGAATTACAATCAGGTAAACAATATTTCAACTCTGATGACATACTGTTTATTTACAAAAGATAATTATATTCAAAGGTGCAACAATCTTACAGTTAGTTAGACTGGAGGGTTCAAACAAATTTTTCTCTCTTAGCATCTGTCATTTTACTGATATAATTTTCTCTCTCTCACTGTCTTCTGATATAAATTTCTAGAACTATTGTTGACTGATATAATTCCCCCCCACTTGTTGTCTACTGATAGAATTTTCTCTCTCCCCACCTGTTAACTGATAGAATTTTCTCTCTTCAGTTGTTGACTATGACTCAGGCACTACATCCTATGATGTGGACGTGACAGTCTCTGATGGAACCCACACACAGACTGTCAAAGTCCATGTCCAGCTGCTGCCAGTGAATGAGTTTACCCCAGCTTTCCCTGCAACACCACTATCTGTGTCAGTGGCAGAAGGAACTGTGTCAAACCCAATCACAACTTACACAGCTACAGACAGTGATGCAAGTCCACACAACATTGTGTCCTATAGCATAGTGTCAGGTAAATATAGGATTTAAGGTATCCCTGTATGTCCCATATAAAGAAACCAGATTAAATACTTATGCTAAATTAAACTTTTGTTTCTCTAGTGACCAACTCAGGAACTTCCTTATTTGCTGTTGACTCTGCAACAGGGGAGATAAATCTAAAGTCAGCTCTGGATTATGAATCTTTACCAACTGGTGATAAGCAATATGTGCTGGTTATTGTTGCTACTGATGGTGGAGGTCTGGCGGTATGTTGATGCTCTACGTAGGACTAAATGCTTACATTTTTTTACATGTCACAAGTGAAAGAAATAGTAAAACACTAAACTTGTGATATTAATTAGCCTACAAAAAACATTATTCACTATTATTATTGGCTTTTGTTATGTAAGTTTAAAATCACAGCATGCTGTTTTGTTATTAATTTTACTAGGGTACTGGCACAGTGACAGTGGTAGTGACAGATGTAAATGACAAAGCCCCTGTATGCACACAGTACACTTACTCATTTAATATCAATGAGGGAACAGGTAGGCTTTTATGGTGTTTTTTTTAAACGTGTGTTAATGAGTAGAATTGAATAATACAAGTTACAGAAAATGTTAGGGAATGTTATAAAAGATTAAATTTAAAGTTTTTAAAAACAGTTTTGATATTTTTTAAATTACCTAGTATTACTTAATATCAATGTATTAGGTTTTATGTCAAACGTTGATTTATTATTTATCAGGACCTTCAGAAAATGTACTTAATATATTAAATTTTGCGACTAATAAAAGAATATATAGTTTTCTTTTGTTTATTCAGCATGTAAGCAATGGTAAGTCTCAACTGTATATCAACAATTCCTAACTTGATTTGTGTAATTGATATCAAAATGAATAAGCCTCAAATGTTTTGTTTAGCCTCCCAAACACTGATCAACAACTTGGGCTGTACTGATGAAGATACCCAAACTCCAGTCTACACACTCAACCAAGCTCCAAGTACACAGTTCTCCCTGGCATCTGGCAAACTAACATTAAACAGTAAGTTCTTTGCTTCAATGGCAAACTGACATTAGACAGTAAGTTATTTGCTTCAATGGCAAACTGACATTAGATAGTAAGTTATTTCCTTCAATGGCAAACTGACATTAGACAGTAAGTTATTTACTTCAATGGCAAACTGACATTAGACAGTAAGTTATTTCCTTCAATGGCAAGCTGACATTAGACAGTAAGTTATTTACTTCAATGGCAAACTGACATTAGGCAGTAAGTTATTTACTTCAACTTCAATGGCAAACTAACATTAGGCAGTAAGTTATTTCCTTCAATGGCAAACTAACATTAGGCAGTAAGTTATTTACTTCAACTTCAATGGCAAACTAACATTAGGCAGTAAGTTATTTGCTTCAACTTTAATGGCAAACTAACATTAGACAGTAAGTTATTTCCTTCAATGGCAAACTAACATTAGGCAGTAAGTTATTTACTTCAACTTCAATGGCAAACTAACATTAGGCAGTAAGTTATTTGCTTCAACTTTAATGGCAAACTAACATTAGACAGTAAGTTATTTCCTTCAATGGCAAACTAACATTAGGCAGTAAGTTATTTACTTCAACTTCCATGGCAAACTAACATTAGGCAGTAAGTTATTTACTTCAATGGCAAACTAACATTAGACAGTAAGTTATTTACTTCCCTTGAAAACTGACATGATAGTAAGTTGTTCACTTCACTTGGAAACTAGCATTAGACAGTGTGTCATTTTATTTTTCATGGATACTTACAATATTTTCCATAAGGCCCAAAATTTAATTATTTTAATGCTAGGAAAAGTATCTCTTTAACTGAAGCTGTTTCTATCCATAGCTGCCCTGGACTATGAGAGTGGCACATCCCACACTTTGACCATCACAGTAGAAGATCATGGCACTCCTGTAAAAACTTCAACTGTCTCTGTGTTTATCACTGTTGTCAATATCAATGATGGAGGTCCTACATTTTCAGCTGTATCCACTGTCACAGTTGATGAGACAGATGCCATTGGGTCTCTTATTACAGGTACCTCCCTGAAACTTTGAGCAATTTTATTACTTTCTTGAAAAAATGATCTTAATCAATGTGTTAGTAAAACATCAAATGTTCCCCAGTTGTCACAGCTACAGACCCTGATGGCACAGATCCCATCTTTGGAGATCCACAGTACAGCATCATTGGTGGGGACACCAACCAGCAATTTACTATTGATGTCAGCAATGGCCAGATCACTACTAGAAAACTTTTGGACTATGAACTCATCCAGTCATACAGTTTGACCATTCAGGTAAGACAGACATTTCACTATTCCCTTCCTGCCACAAAACTTTTTTGTACATCTATCTCTCTTTCTCTCACACTGTACCGTAATCTAATATTGATTCTATATTATTTCTAAGCTAGTCTTTGCTTTACTACTTAGAAACAAACAAAAAAATTATTTAATGCTAATTAGAACAAATGTGCAGTGGGGTTTTATTTGCACAAATTCATAAAATTGAATTTATTATTTTCTAACAGGCCAAAGAAAGAGGGGGAGCTAACTCTGCAACAGTAACTGTATCTGTCCAACTAAATGATATCAACGATGAGAAGCCAACATGCAGCCCCAATCCATTTTTAATAACTGTTATGGAAAACAAGCCAGCAGGTTTTTCAGTCCAGACTTTTGCTTGTTCAGACAGGGATGCCAGTACTATCTTAACATACAGCTTAACAACAGGGGACAGCACTCTTTTTAAAGTGAACTTTTTCACATATTTACTTTGTAGAGATTTATTATATAAAAAAGAAAATATTTAAACAGCTATATACTATTATTAACTTTCTTATACTTAGATGGTGATTTACTTAAATACATAAAACTGTTTAGAAATGTGTGTTCACCACTTTAACTATAGCTGTATAAAACTTTCAGATGAACTCCAACACTTTAGAACTTCAGTCTAAGCTTGACTTTAGTGCAGCACAGAGCTATAACCTAATCATCACTGCATCTGACTCAGTTGCCTCCCATGATTTACAAATTACTGGAACTATTATTGTAGGCAGTGTTAATGATGGGCCTCCTGTATTTCAAAATGGTTAGCTTTCTTTTCACTAATATCTATTTAACTATTAATTTTAATTAAAATTTATTTACTTATGATTGGAGATATGCTTTAGTCAAGCAATACTTCTGATCTTTTGGGTTAAGTGAAACATGAATTAATTTAGTTACGGTAAGTAACAAATGGGAAAGGATCCATATGTTGTATCATGGGCTTACATTAAAAACAGTCTAACTAATAACCATTAAAATTATCTTAACTTTCATTTAATTGTTTCATTAATTAATTACTTTCTTTAGTTAACTAATCAGTTTTTTCCACCATCATTAGTTCCCTACCAGGTGAGTACCAGTGAAGCCACCTCTCTGTCAACTGTCATCCTGCAAGTTACAGCAATAGATCCAGACCCTAACACAGATCTCTATGGTCAAGTGAAGTACTCATTCCAACTGACATACCCACAGTTTTTTATTGATCAGGACAATGGAAAGGTAAAGAAATTATGTGAACTTAATGGCATAACTATGACTAGAGTAGACTGTTACATTGAATTTGTTACTCTCTTGTACTAATTAAAATCCTACATAAAATAATAATCCTTTATTGATACTGAAAAACTAAAGAACTTATATTCTAAAAACTTTAATCTGTTTCAAAAATTAGTTACTACTTTTGTGCAATTAGGCCCTAGACATGTGGGCTAAAACTAAGTAGCAATTATTGATTGTGTACTTTATTAACTGTGTTAGGTATTCACTTTTTCCCATAAAATAGATTAAAATTGTAATGAAAACAACAGTTTAATTAGTAAAAACATTTGAAAGTAAATCAGATTACATAAATTGTGACAAAATATCTTTCAGATTTCTGTAGTTGAACAGCTGGACAGAGAAACCACTGCCCTATACACTCTTGTGGTCATTGCTTCTGATGGTGACACATCAAGTTCTGACACATCAACAGTGACTGTTACTGTCACTGACAGTAATGACAACACACCCAAGTTTTCTCAGAGCACATACAGGTAACTTTGGTATATCATAATACCTGTGAGAAAAGCTAAGATCAGTAAATAGACTAATGGACAAGATCTCTGAAGCTGTAAAACTTTCCTTAGTTTTTTCCTCTGTTTGATTTTTTTCTGTTGATCAATTATAATAAGGTATGGTATGATATGTCCAGCAAAAGAATTAATATAAAAATGGCACATTTTTTTTCAACTTTAAGCCCTTATTTCTGTTGAATCTTTCCAACATGTCCAAAAGTTGCGTACCTGTTAAGCTGTTTGCAATCTATTGTTTTCATTATTTAAAGATGAGCTTATTTAAAAAATCTAATATATGATATATTTTGATTGGTACCTAAAAATAATTGTATTGATAGTGTATCTCTACCTGAGACCATCACAACTGGAACCACAGTTCAGACAGTGTCAGCAACAGATGCTGATGATCCTGCCACAGATTATGGGAAGTTTTCATTTGCTTTATGTATGTTTACATTGATTTATTTTACATACTGCATAGTTCTTTAAGATATTCAATGCTTAAATTGTTTAATGAAAGGAAACGGATCTGTTAATAAAATAATATTTAATCAATGGATCTGTTAGTTAAGCTTTTTAAAAGGTGCTTTTGTATTTAGAAATACAACTTCTTTTTTCCAATTTTTCACTTTAAGTATTTTTTTTTATTTTAGAATAGAAAAAAAATTGATTATGTTTTTATAACTTTGTACAGTATTCAACCAATTCTCTCCCCTAGCTGGCAGTTCAAAGTTTACAATAGACTCAACAACTGGAGTTATTACAAACAATGTGGATCTGACAGCGGACTCTGGGACAACAAAATACACTCTTCTGGTCACAGCTACAGGTAAAGTAGCATACATTATGGGCCTCTTTATCAGTTTTAGGGAGTAGATGGGGATGATAAAGTTTACAGTTTTAAAAATTCATTTTGCAATGTTATATTTGTTTGGTGTTAACTAAAAAAAAATTGAAATCATCAGACAACAAAGGCTTGGCTGGTGCCCTAACTGGCTCAGCTGTTGTCATAGTTACTGTTACTGCAGTCAACCAGTATGACCCAACCTTTGCTTCATCCACTGTTACACAAGTTGTTAATGAAAACCAGTATGCAATAGGAGATGTCATTGTGTTGGTATGGCTGAGTTTTTTTGTTTGAATTAATTTTACTTAAATCTTTTTAAAATAACTTATTAGCGTGATTATATGTTTCAGGTATTTTTAAAAATTGAAATTCTATAACACCTATAAAAACTATAAGACTACTGTTTTAAGGGCATAAAATTCTTTCATGATTATTTTGTATGTATTCTTGTTAAGTTATTTTTTAAAATTAGTTTCATAACATTTTTAAAATTTCTGCCCTGATATTGTTTCCTCTCCTACAGCTGACAGCAACTGATGCTGATATAGGACAAGATGGGCAAGTAACTCTCACATTTGTAAGTCCCCAAACCAAATTCTACCTGACACAAAATGGCAATGTGGCTGAAGTACGTCTGTCACAAAATTTAGACTTTGACCAAGGGGATACATCATTTGTGTTTTATGTCAAGGCCACAGGTGAAAACAGTGTCAACAATGTGTTGTTTTTTTAATTTAATATTTCTAACTGTATCTTAATGATACATTTTAAACAACTGACTACATGTTTTTTTTTTTTATTATATTTTCAGCTGTAATATTATGATACAATTTTAATAATTAACTACATTTTTGGTTTAACTTAAAATTATAGAATGTGATAAGAAACAATGTTGAAAAAAACATCAAAAATGACTAATGAGATAATTATCTGTCTACAGATTCTGGTAGTCCAGCTAGGTCAGCAACATGTACTGTGACCATCACTGTTAATGATGTGAATGACAATGCCCCACTGTGTACCAGCACAATGGTTGTGCATGTAACAGAAGGACAGACCAACATTGCAACACTCAACTGTCAGGATGCAGATGCTGGTACAACTCTTGCTTACCAACACATCAGGTGAGGCCCCGGTTATTTACCAATAAAATGTTTATAATATCCAGAATTCTGATTATTGCATTTGAATTTTAGCTGTTTGTTAGGATGTCTTCAACTTTAACATTTTCCTAAAAAGTACTGGGTACTTTAACATTTTTTATCTTTATTAATAAATGAATTAAGTCACAACTAGTTTATTAAACTGTTTATAATAGTTATCTCTTAATAATTATAAATGAAATACAGCACCACTCCAAGCACAATATCCCCTACTGTGTCAGCGGGTTTGGTCACAGTGTCAACAGCATTAGATTATGAAACTGGAACACAGTACACAATATTAATAAAGGTAACTTTTTAGCCCTAAACTCATCTATCTTACCCATTTGTGGTCCTCCTTCACTCTTCTGGAAGAATTCGCCTTAGTGTCCACTTCACTCTGATTTAGAATGTAAAGCATTCAACCCCATACCATTGTGCTTAAGTTAAACCTGTTTTGTTTACTCTCTGCACATTTGCTTTGGTCAGTAAAATGTAGTGGACAGTTTTACAATGTAGGTGTTGGTTATTTGATTTACCCACCTTATCAATAGTAAGAGAGTTGCTGCACCACTACTGCCATTTAAATATAAATACTATGTAGAACTTGAACCACTTAGGTCACCACAGTTATAGATGCAATTCAATTGAGGCAAAGGCTCAACAGTCTTTTCTTATTTGTTTAGATCATATGATGATCAAATCTCCAAAATACGAAAGGCTACTAGACAAGATTATTTTTCATCTATAATCTTACTTTTTCACAACCAAGACAAGACTGACTAACTTTTCAATTTTTACACTAACAACCCTATATCACCATGGTTCATGCTCTGTCACAGTCATTCTTTAATTTAAAATTCCCAAAATAATACACTACCTGCACGCTATAACACAGACTGATGTAATCCAGAAATATTTAGATGTCATTATGGCACCAAGCAAACAGGACAGAATTTGAAAACAATTTAACCTTTTCATTTCATGTTTTACTTAAGGTTAAACATGCACTCATTAATTCAGAAAAAGTAGGTTTAAATTGTTTTTATAAATATTTATTAGGTGTCTGATAATGGAAGTCCAGTAAAGAGTACAACAGTGACCATAATTTTATATGTCACTGACCTGAATGACAATGACCCAACAATAAATGGACCATTCACATTCACTGTGGCTGAAAACCAAGTAGCCAGCAGCAGTGTCTTGTACACTGTTGATGCCAAAAGTAATGATGGACCAACAGATGTACTCACCTACTTGCTCTCAGATACAACTTATTTCCAGGTTTCTTGTAAGTCAACGTGTTAATTAATGCAAATTTTGTACTATTAACTAAATTTGTTTCTTTTAAAATTTTCTTTGAATTCTTAATTTTACCTTGGATCACCATCAATATAGAATATATTTAAACTATATTTGATAAAAGGTTTGTTTAAATGTTGATTTGTACTGTTTAGCTATTGCTAAATATAATATTTATGGTAAAATAAAAAATATATATTACATTTCAGTTAATTTAATACATAATTTAATACATATTACAAACACAGCATCTGGTGAAATATCACTGAAGACAAATGCTCCTGATTATGAAACTGTTGGTGCCACTTACAACATGATCATCTATGTCAAAGATTCAGCCAATCCTACTGTACGCACAGCATCTCAGACTCTCACAGTCACCGTAACGGATGTCAATGACATGTGGTATATTTTGGGGTTTTTAAAACTTATAATAGTCCTATAAAAGTAGATTTTATGACAGAAGACAATGTAAGAGAAGTTGTATATTTTTTGGTTTTAAAACTTATAATAGTCCTATAAAAGTAGATTTTATGACAGAAGACATTTTAAGTGAAATCACATAGGTGCATGGGGTGGTGAGGTAGTTTTTTAGAACATAAAATTACTCACTGAAAAGTTTCATATTTTCTTATTGAATTCAAGCCTGTAGAATATGCATCTAGCTATTTATGTCCATTCATATATATATATATATATATATATATATATATATATATATATATATATATATATATATATATATATATATATGTTTAAATATATATTTTTTATATATTTTTTTTATAAATATAGTATATATATATATGTAATATTAATGCTATATTTATATATATTATATAAAATATATTTATTTTATGTATTTATATTTATCTTATATATATTTATAAATATAATATTTATTTATTTTATATATACATATATAAAATAAAAACAGTATGTATATATATATATATATATATATATATATGTATATATATATATATGTATGAATTTTTCTCATCAGTTCAGGATAATTTCCTTAAACATTTCTATCACAGGCCAGTTTTCAACCCAAGGACTTATTCAGCCTCACTGGCTGAGAGTGTCTCAACAGGAACAGCAGTGACACCTGTAACTGCTACAGATGGAGACACCACTGCAGCATACCACACCATAACATACACAATCACCAGTGGTAACACAGGCGGTGTATGGAGGTAATTTGACCATTTTATACTTGGTTTTCTAATTATTGCATTTATTTTTTTAAGGGCCTCATAATATTTTAATCTTGAAATCAGTCTTTTTAAAAAAAATTTAAACATCTTAATCAGACATCATATATATAATAAGCAAATATCACCTGTATTTGTAGTAATCTTAATTTGTATTCAATCTTAATGTTTAAGCTTCCAATATCGTGTTTAAGGTACTATGAGTAAAGCCACTAGTGAATCCAACGTCTCTTTTTGTAAATTGTTCACCATTATTCCTCCTCAACTTTTGTCTCTGTTTCAATGAACAAGCAAAATAATTAAATTAATATTTAGAGAACTTTACTTTAAAAAATAGATTCATCAATGAATATTTATATAATCATGATTGTTCAAATATGCATTATTGTGTTTTTCCAATACACAAATTATACTTATTACACAATTTATACAGTTATATAGTTATGAGGTGACAAGATGTTCATCCACATTAGGGATTGTAATTGTATGTTGAAACCACCATTTGAAAATAGTTTATAAAATAAAACAGTTTTTTTTTTTAAATTTTACTCCAGTACTTTGCCAAGTCAAGTAATTTGTATTTTTTTTTAGTTCTTTAAGTTGTCTTAAAAATATAGTGAATATCTTGTTGGATTCCATTGAAAAAGTCTGTGATAGATACATATATTTTAGAACAGAGCCAATACAATGTGACGTATACATTCTGAAGATAAAGCAGATGAAACTAAAGATGTAAAAGTTATCTATATTATATTTTTTTCCTAATCTGAAACCAGCATTGACAACACAGGAGCTGTAAAAACTACAGCAACCTTGGATTATGAAACTGTGACCTCATACAACCTGGTAATCCAAGCTAGTGATGGGACACATTCTGCTACAGCCAACTATGTTATCAGTGTCACACCTGTTAATGAATATGATCCAGTTTTTTCACCTGCCTCAGATACAAAGTCAATCAATGAAAATGTGGCCTTAGGAACCACTCTTGCTACAGTCAGTAATTGTTTAACTCTTTTACATTTTAATTCTTTGAAAGGTATTTTAAAGATAGCACTTGTCATTACAAATAGTTATATTTCAATCTTTGTAAAGACTGTTTTTAATTGACCATAACTTTATGTCAGCTAAAACAGCAAGTATTAAATATATCCAGGTCTCAGCTACAGACAGTGATAAAGGGAATGATGGTGTTGTTGTTTACAGCATAGATACAGGTTTGTTTTTGTTTTTTCGTATGTTCAGTTTTTAATAGGGGTGGGACATGTTTATTAACTACCCATAAGTCATGATTTATATTTTGAAGTACAAAATGTTAATTTACTTGAACTAAAAAAAATATTTTCAGGACCCTTTACCATTGATTCCTCCACCGGTGTTATTACTGTGTCTGGTGACTTAAACAGAGAACTACATACTTCATATACTCTCACTGTACAGGCTGTAGACAAGGGGACACCATCCAAATCTGGCTCACTCATACTTACAGGTTTCTTTCCCTTTAGCCAAAATTTTTGTTTTGTTTTACAAATTAATTTGATACTTTAATTCTTTTAAATTTGTTTTAATTTTAAAAGTTTTTATGCTTACTGTTTTATACTAACCATTGTAAGTGACTTTTTTAAAATAAACTTTTCAGTTAATATAAATGATGTGAATGACAATACACCATACTGCTCTGCCAGTTTGTACTCTGCTTCTATCCTGGAATCTTCCACTTCTGGAACATCTGTGGCCACCTTGGTTTGTCATGATGATGATTTTGATCCAGCTTACCTAAACAATGCTTTAACTTACACAATTAGTAAGTGGTCACAGTTCATATTCAAGGAAAAATAGAAAAATATGTTGTTTTTTTTTTACAGTAAAACAAAAATAAAAGAGGTGTTTTAGCTAAAACTAATTATGTTTTTAGTTTACACACTATGAAATAAAACAATGTAATACTTTATAAAATAATTTTTTAAAATTTTGATCCCAGTATCAGGCTCAAGCTTGTTTGTTGTGGATTCTGCTGGAGCCATCACAGTAAAATCAGGAGCCACATTTGACAAAGAAACATCAGCATCAGAAACAATAATTGTTCATGTCATTGACAAGTCTACTTTGTCTAAACTCACTTTCACTGCCACAGGGCTTGTCACTATTTTAGGTAAATACTGGAATAATTTCAGACTGTAGTTATCTCATTTGTTAAATTTTATGGTAAAATGCAATTTGAATCCTTAACTCTTGAATATCCTCAGATGTTAATGACAATGCTCCAACATTTACATCTTTGACAAGTGCAAGTGTGCCAGAAAACTCAGCTATTGGAACAACTGTACAAACTGTTGTGGCTACAGACCAAGATAGTGGTGTTAATAGTAAATTAACTTTTTTCTTATTTCTATTCAGTCAAATTACATTTTGGATATAATCAAATAAAATATAGTTTTCACTGTGTAAACCTTCATTAGTATATAATAAATATAACTTTATTGTAATAACAAATATTCATGAAATAAAATTACAAAACAAGTTATCATATCTACATCATGGAACACCACATTGTTAAGAGTTTTTAAAACCCTAAATTTGTTCTTAATGGCTAACACTGTTTATCTAGAGGAACTGGTGTATGATATAACAAGTGGCAACACAGGCAACAAGTTTTACATTGACCCAGTAAATGGCTATGTTGTTCTTCAGGACAAGCTGGACTATGAGACAACTAACTTGTATACTCTTGTCATCACTGTTAAAGTAGGACATTTTTATTACATTTTTTAGATACTTGATTCCAGTTAGATTCAATCATATATTGTAAAACTGGCTTTTAATTTCTCTTACACCACATTAACACTTGCATCATATATTCTATATATGCCTAGAAAAAAACTTGCAGCAAGTAAGTTTACAAATTCTGTGACATAACTTGTTGCGAATTTCTTTTTCTAGATGTGTATATAATACATGTCACACCTGTAAATGTGGTGTTACATTATATACATTTAAATAAATTGACAAAGTCATTAAAAAGTACACAAGACATATGAAAACCTACTTTTCATAAACATTAGGATAAAGGTACCCCATCACTAAGTGTGACTGGCACACTGACAGTGTCAGTGACAGATGTCAATGACAAGCCTCCAGTGTGTGCATCATCCCTGTACACATCTACCATAGCAGAAAATTCTATCAGCACATCAGTGACTACAATCTCATGCACAGACACAGAAACTGTTGGAACTGTTTCCTACAGCATTACATCAGGTACTGGATCAATTATTTTTGCTGCCATAACATACTGACCTGCTGAATTTTTCCTTTGTTTCTCTACTGTTGTACAAACTCTGTGGTCAATTTATTTACCAGGTGATACCAACAGCTACTTTACAATAGATACAGCAGGGGTTGTCTCAACATCAGCTAGTGCTAACATTGATTATGAAACAACTAGGTCTTATGTTCTGGTCATCACTGCATCAGATGGCATTCAGTCAGCAGTTACTAGAGTTCAGGTGAGAAATTCTTCTTTAGATATTACCACTGTACCTTATTTTCTTGACTTTTGTTCCTGCCTTTTTAGTATAAAAGTAAATCTGCCACTATACCAGTTACTTAATTTTCATTATTCAACCTGGATTGTAGAAAAAATGCATCACAAACTGAAAAAAACCCAGTAATTAATAGGCTAAACACCTTACAGAGTCATCCGCTATTCAAGAATTTTTTAAAACAAAATTTATAGTTTTTTTTGTTCTTTTAGATTACAGAATGCCTGATTGTTAGTTATAAAACTTAAACTATGACACATGTTTAAGATACTAATATTATAGTCTGTTGCCTAGGAATTTTTGTGCACTTGTTACAACCATGTACCATGTAATATTTCAACTATAAAAACCATGTCTGGTAACAATTTTTTCCAAATATCTGTTAATGTCCCACCCCCAGGTTACAGTTACAGATGTAAATGAAGCTGACCCACAGTTTAGTCCAGCTGGTCCATACACTGTGACAATGTCTGAATCCTCATCAATAGGAGACTCTGTTAAAACTCTTGCTGCCACTGATGCTGATACTTATGACTCTATCAGAGTTTTTTCCATCACTGCAGGAAATTCTGCTGCCAAATTTATGATAGATGCATCTTCTGGATTGATAAAGGTTTGATAGACCCCTAATAACAAATACACATTAAGATTTTTTTCACAGCCAAAGAAAGGAATTAATTAATTACAATTTTCAAGCAAAATATAATTAACAGAGAAAAAAAGGCATGCCAATTATTGTGCATTACATTTCGTTACCGTGCAATAAATGTTTTTATTTTCAAAAAGCAGCATCAAACATTATAGTGAAAAAGTGAGATAGACAGATCAGGCGTTTTTGGGTATATGGCACTATCACACAAGAAAAATTTCAGGAGCTTTTTGTCATAATAAACTGTAAAGGGTTAAGATTTTATGAAAGTCTAAAACTCAACAAAGTAACCAGCTTTTTTATTCTTGTCTTCAGCTACAAGGATTATTGGATCATGAAACTACAAGCTCTTATTCTCTAACTCTTAAAGTTGAAGATTCAGGAGGGAGATCATCCACTACAACATTAACTGTTAGTGTTGGTGATGTAAATGACAACAGTCCTGTGTGCAGTGACCAAACAGCAGCTGTCAGTGTAAATGAGGGAGTTAGCTCAGGAATATTGTACACACCAACCTGTTCTGATCTTGTAAGTTAATGAACAACTACTTAGTTTTTGTATACTTGTGTGTAGGTCCATATGGGATGTATGAGAAAATTTAGATTTACCAGAAAACTTTTTTTAATCTACCAGGATACAGTGGCCACTCCTACTCTTCTCTACTCCATGTCTACCAGTGATTCATCAATATCAATAGATACTAGCACAGGTATTTTCTTGTAGATTACTTACTGGTTACTTTCTTTTTCTACCTAAACAAAATATATTAACCTAACATATACACTCAGTTGTTTTCAATACCAGCATTGATCATCACTTTATTCCTCAGGAAAACTATCACTCAGTTCAGCTATGGACTATGAAACTCAAACAGTTCATGACATTGTGATCATTGTCAGTGACCAAGGGTCACCAGCAAAGACAACAACAATCAGTGTAAGAGTAAATGTCCAGCCTGTGAATGAATTTCCACCAGTGTTCACCTCCTCAGCCACCTATGGACCCTACAGTATTGCTGAGGACACAGCTCTTGGTAAACAACTAAGCAAGTAAAAAATATGGAATAAAAGCTTATGGAACAAAACATGTCTAATATGAGATGAATTCAATTTGCTTTCATAGGTACATCAATAGGCAAAGTCTCAGCCACTGATTCAGACATGGGCTTGAAACAAGGGACAGTCATATACAGCATTGTTGCTGGAGACACACAACAACAATTTGCTGTTGATGAGTCCACTGGTGTTATCAAGGTGGTCAGTTCATTGGACAGAGAGGCTAAAGCTACATATACCCTCACTCTAAGGGCAAAAGATGATGAATCGGGTTCAGGAAATGAAAAAAGTGGTAAGTATATATTATGCTATTGTCTGTCAAATGGAGTATTTAAACAGTGTAGGCCCAATTGTCTGTCTAATCGTCATTTTAATCTGAATAATTCAACTTTTCCATATATTGAGTTTTTGCCTCAAAACATCATTTTTATAAATTCCTTTATATGAATTTACTACTACTTAACCTTACACAATTAATGAGAAAAATTAAATTTATCAAGCGCTTTATCATTGATGGGATCCAAACTACGGCCCGCGGGCCGGATGCGGCCCGTGATGTCCTCTCATCCGGCCTGCGGAGATCTTTTTGTCCAAGGAAAAATCGTTTGTTGGTGATGGCTCATGCCTGGAAGAAACTGGCCCCCAATCTGAAATTTGATAGTTAATGCGGCCCTCCGATTGAAAAGTTTGGAGACCCCTGCATTAGACAGTTAATTATTTGACATTTCAATGTATTATTGTTATGGCTCCTTTTGGCTTGTGAGACAATGGGTGTGTGCCCAGAGATTATGATGTTATCATTGTCTTTTGGTGCTGGCTCTGATGTAACTGATCATGCCAAATCTGAATATTTTCCTTTTTGTCCCCTCAGTGGCAACCTCTGCCCTTTTTCCTTTAGCGATGAGGATGCCAGTCCACATAGTATGCCTCCACAATGCTATGTCTTGTTCTGCTCCCACATGTGTTTAATTTTGTCAGCTTGCCCTAGGTTCTGTTTGCAGACACCTCTGTTATTTAGTAGGGGTCTTCCCCTGGGTCTTGTACCATTGGTAATTCCCAACAGAGGATGTGTTTTGGGATTTGGCTATCAGCCATATGACAGATTTGACCCAGCCAACACAGTCTTCTCTGGGTTATCATTTCTTGAGCACTAAGAGGGTTGGCTTGCATCAAGATGTCTTGATTGGAGAATCAGTTTTCCCATGTGAAAACCATGGTGTATCATCGGTAGCACAAATAAAACTATTTCATGGTGCTTAAAATCTGCTTGTTGATTTTTATCTAAGCTCTAAGCACCTATTAGAGTAGTCAGCACTTTACTTTCTGTAGGTTACCCAGATTGAGAATGGATGGTAGCTGATCAGTGAAGTGAAAGTTCTCTCCCTGAGATGTAATCTCTGGCCTCCTACTTTAAGCCAATCAAGTTGGACTTAAAACCCATGATATTTCTCTTCCCGTATCAAATGAAGAGGTCATGGGTAGCCGATTTGTCATGATTTGTACCTCGACCTTGCCAGTATAGTCCAATGGAATGAAAAACAATACATTTGGTACCAATTCAGTTTGTAAGCTTTTAGCTGAGTTGTGTTAATTGGACAATCAAGTGTCTTTTGTGTTTATCTCTACCACCCTAGTGAATGTGTTATGCAGATATCCAATGGTGTTCAATTATTGTCTCTTGACTATGCATCATTCTTTATATTTTGGACAGTTTTAGCTGATTGACTTCGTATCATCAGAACATGCAGTTGTACTGTAGCTTGCCTGTTCCTCTCCTGTTTAGGAATATTACTGTCTATATTTTAAAATGTTTTATAATTCAGCTTTTGTGTGTTATTCATCATTTTTTTTTTAATTCCTCAGCTGATGCTACAGTGTATTTAACAATAACAGATGTGAATGACAACAGCCCCTTGTTTAACCCATCTGTGTACACAATAAATGTTTTAGAGTCAGCTCCCTTTAGTCCAGCAGCTGTATTGAAAACTTTAACAGTTCATGATGATGATGCAGGAACAAATGCTGCCACAACTATAACAATAATCTCAGGCAACAGTGAAAACAAGTTTTCCATTTCTGGTTGGTGCATTTTTTTATTAAATGATGTAAAGCTAATAATGTTATATTTTTGATTGATATCATGAAAATATCTTTAGTGCTTGCTACCATAACTAACATTTCTCTGACAGTAAAAAAACACTTTATCATTATTACAGGCAATGATGTAACATTAGTTGACCAGCTGGACTATGAAACAACAACTTCCTACGAACTGATTGTTCAAGTGGCTGATGGTGGAAGCCTTTCTCTTAAATCTACTGGACGTGTCTTGATTAATGTTCTGCCAGCTAATGACCAGGCACCTCTAATGACCACAGCTGATGAAGTAAAAAATATCCCAGAAGACACTTCAGTTGGGACATTAGTCTTTAAAGCAGTTGCAACTGGTAGATACAATACATTTTCTTTGTTTCTTATTTTGTGATCTGTTTTAACCCCTTAACGCCGACAGTCGCGTTTTCGCGACATACCGATTTAGCGCATAGCATTTGCGCATATGTACATTTATCCTACTGCTGTCGGTCGTTGTGTATTGGGTACATCCAGACGGTTGTATTGGTACCAGCGGTCACGTTGTCAAGTCGAAATTTATGACGTCACACTCTCTTGACTCACGCGCATCGTAATTTTTTTGACTTCGTGAATTCAGCCTACTTACATTGATTATTATTACTAAATAGGTGATCCGCTTCTGCTACAAAAAATACTAATAGCTTTATTATTCATTCTTTTATGTATATAAACAATATAAATCACATATGAGAATAATTTTGGAAGTTATCTGCTAATTACGGTTTGTCGTGTTTTCGCGACATCCGGCAATAAGACATAAAATGGAACTTGGGTGCCAAGCAGATATAACGAAATACGATGCATCGCCAAGCTGTCATTCATTCAAGTATGATTATAAATAAGTAAAGGATTTACAATATGGTCTTCGCCTATATATAAAACTGCACTTTAGAACGTTACGGACCATGTGGTAGGTGAAGTAGAGTTCACCTGTTTCATTGATATTAGCATATGGAGAGAGAGTGATGCTTGAATAGTGTGATCATGTTGCTGGGTACAATATAACGAATTTAGCTTTGAAATAGTATTGTATAATATTAGGAGAACATAAAAAACAAAATAGACAACAGGAAGTGAGGTGGTGGACCACTATCCTGGATACCACCAAATAAAGGTCTTCACAGTGACCTTGACAATAATTACATTGAGCATAGACCTACACCTCGTAATAAATACAGTAAGGTTGAGTGCTGACACACATACCCTTTGCAGTGCTATTGAATAACCACATTAGTGGCATTATACTGGCATTTAGTACCTACAGCAGTGTTATTGAGTACCCACATCTTCAGCACTGAGTACCAACATCAGTGACACTGAGCAACCACAGTTTGAGCAATAAGCACTCACAGCAGTGCTACTAAGTACCCACTGCTAAGGCTGAGTACCTATGTCAACGTTATCGATAACCAACAGCTCCAGCGCTGAGTACCCACAGCAGTGACACCAAGAACCTACTACAGTAACACTGAGTACCCACAGCTTCAAGAGTGAGTACCCACAGCTTCAGCACTAAGTACACATGGCTTCAACACTCAGTACCCACTGTTTCAGCACTGAGTACCCATAGCAGTGGCAATATGTAGCTACAGCACTGTGTTTGGTAATCAATATCAGAATCAGTTGAGAACAATAGCCGTAGCACGAATTGGAAACATAGGGTACCATCAACAATAGCAGTGAGTACCCACACCGGTGGCACTGAGTACCCACAGCAGTAACACTAAGTACCCACAGCAGCTGCATTGAGCATGGACGAATATACAATGGCTGAACACTGTCATTTAGGACATTATTTGTTCATGTGATTTGTGTGTATAGCAAATATAGGTCAAATGAGAAATATGCGTCTTTATTAGTTGACCTTGAATAAGAGTTCACGAAAATTACGTAACCGGGGACAACTAAGGCTCTACACATTGAAGGAAGTCCTTTCATATGTAGTGTGTTACTATAGTGTAGTAGAATTACGACAGCAAGACATTAAAATACCTATTCATAAGAGTTAGTCAGTGAGCAGGTGCAGCAGAGTTATGTAACTCTATGCCTGAGCTAATAAAATATAGTTTTCATGAGTTTTGCAAGTGATTCTACATCTCCTTGCATGTCCGTATGTTTAGTTTGTGATATTTTATTGTTTGTGCATGGATATTTAGAGAAACATGTGACAGTAAAAATAGTAAAATGACCCGGACTAAAAAAAAATTAAATTACTGTTTGGTCCATAAGTGCCTGATGTCGCGTTTTCGCGACATACCGTAATTATCATCAAAAATAAGTCAAAATTCAAAAACAACTATATACCTCAAATTCAGTGTCAGTATGATGAGAGAAAATCAGCACAAATAATTTTTTACACGCTTGGAACATAATTCAGGCATTAAGGGGTTAAATAAATTTAGGTTAAAGGAATCTTGTAATGAGAAAAAGTTACAAAATTTTGTTCAGGATGAAGCTGTTAGGAATTCATTAGTTCAGTTTATTTAAAATACTCATTTAAAATTTTGGCAAACCTTTTTAAAATATTTGTTCTCTTTAAAACTCACCAGATCTAGATGCAGGTGTGGATGGTATAATCACTTACAGTATAGCAAGTGGTGTGACTAACAATGAGTTTGTTATTGATGCCAACTCTGGTGAGGTCTTTGTTGGATCCCAGCTGGACTATGATACAACACCCAACACCTATGCAATGGTCATCAGAGCTACAGATGGTGCTGGGGCATCTGCTGCTACATCCACTGTGTCACTGAGCATTGTGCTGACAGACATCAATGACCATGTCCCACAGTTTAGTCTGACCATGTTTATTTTCAGCATCAAGGAAAATGTTGCCTCTGGCACATCTGTTGGAAAAGTTGTTGCCACAGACAAAGGTGATAATTAGTTTGGCAGTTCAAATGTTATTTTAATTATTATGCTTTATTTAATAAGGTAGTTAGATTACTTAATTACTAACTTTTTCTATGGTATATGTTATATTTGATCAGATTCTGGAGTAAATGGGGCCATCAGTTTTACCAAACTTGGAGGCAGTGGCCTGACTTACTTCAACATTGACAGCTCTACTGGAGTGGTCTCTACTGCTGCTACCATAGACTATGAAGCTTTTAAGGTATGTTGGCCTCAAAATTAGTCAATAGCCCCATTAAATATTTTTTAAATAATGTCAGTGTTATTAAAATAAATATGTTATAAAAACATGTTTAGTTTTTGTCTGATTTACTGAAGATTTATTGTATTTAAAAATTTTAGTATTTTCAGTAACTAAACAAGAATTTTTAAATTAAAAACTTTGCATGTCATTGTTTTGGGTATAAAGTGGGATTTTCAGAAGAGTACCATATCAAAGATTTTAAGTACAGCCATTCAATATTTGTAATACAAAAGCAAAACTTGAGTTCATAATTTATACTACATGAAAATTAAAAGAAAAATAGCATGGAACAGAAAAAAATATTGCAAATTTATTTCATTGATTTATAAATATTAAATTTTTTAAAATTTCTAGCTTCAATTTTTATTTTTTTATGGCCGATATGAAGCAAAATGGACAAAAACATGACTTTTTTCCATGTCAACCATAATGATGAAAGGATTTTTGTTAACTCATCGATATCCACCGGATGTTTAATTAATTTTTTAAAGAACTAATTCAAATTCTTTAATATTAAGTACTAATTTTCTGCACTATTTTATGCATATTATTTGTGTTCAGTTGGTTTGCAATCCTTAATAGTAGTAGGCCTATTAAACATTTAAATAGGGGAAAATATAGTAATTAAAAATGTATTATTAACAAGTTTTTATATAACTAAAAAGTAGAAAATAAATAATTTTTGTTTAATGTAAAAAAAAATGAACCACTATTTAAATAACAAAAATGAAAGTCTGGATATATATTGAATATCTTTATTAAATACTAAAATGTTATGAGTGGCCAACACTTTTCTTTTCAGTTACTTAAATAGTGGTTCATTATTATATATTTAAAGAATTTCATTTATTTTCTACCTTTTAGTGCATAATAATGTAATAACTTGTTAATAAAATTAAAGTTGTTTTTTTATTTCTTAATAAAGACAAAGTATTTGTATCTGCTATCATATTTAGAGTGACAAAAATCACGTCTATTTTAGGTATTTTTCCTGAGTGTGACAGCAACTGATGGTGGGAGTCCATCTTTTACATCCACTGGTCTAGTGAAAATCTTGGTGGAAAACATGAATGACAACAAACCAAGCATTGTGCCAGCAGACTTTGCTGTTATCATGTCAGAAAACAGTTTAGTTGGAGCCAGTGTACTGTCTTATTATGCTAGTGACATTGACACTGCCATTGGCAGCTTTAGTCTAGCAACAGCCAATTCTTACTTTCAGGTAGAATTTATTTTTTATAAACCTTTCTCTTGCACCACTCTAAAACAGTTTTATTAAATAATTTTTTGGCAAATAATTTCAGGTGAATTCAGCCAATGGAGATGTAACAACTAAGGCAACACTAGACAGAGAAACATTATCAAGGTTGGTTCAGTAACTAATAGCTTTACAGTTTAAGCATCAAAATACAAATATTTAATTTAAAAATGTTTCACTAAGAAAAATATTGTAAGAAAGTCAGAAACTTTAAAATGAATACCATAAACCCAACATGGCATGAGACTTTATCACTAACAATTATTCTTTTTTTTTTATAACTAACATAATCTTATTTCCAGCCATGTGATTTACATCCAAGTCATTGACCAAAGTACTTCAAGTGATCCCATTATTCAAACGTCTACAGCTACCCTGACTATTATAGTTGATGACATAAATGATAACCCCCCTGTCATCACTGGCACTTATTCTGTCTCTGTCCTTGAAAACTCTGTCATCAACACCTTGGTGCTGACCGTAACTGCCACTGACCTAGATGCTAATCAAAATGGACAATTGACCTACTCCATCACAGCAGGCAATACAGGCTCAGCTTTTAAAATTGATTCTACTGGAAGAGTTCAGGTGAGTCACTATAGAATATAAGTGAGAGTTTTAACCTCGCTTGTGTCATTGTAGATTATAGGTGAGATATTTGACCTCAGGCAGAGGCGTAGCGAGGGCGGGAGGTGCGGACCGCACCATTTGGAGGGGGGGGGGGGGGCACCAAGGCAAAAAATAGCAAAATATATAGAGAAAAATGAGAGTGTTTTAAGAGGTGCAAATCGAAAGTTTGAGGGGGGGGAGTGGAAATCGAAAGTTTGACGGGGGGGGGGGTGCATTTTGAAAATTGAAAGTTTGTCCCCGGGAAGTGTTGCTACGCCTCTGGGGGTGACACCATTAAGTGCCGCACCAGGTGACACCCGCCACTGACCTCAGGTGAGTCCGTTTAGAATAGTGGCATATTCATGGGGGTGCAGGAAGAGCAGTCGCTCCCCCTGCAAGCATTTTTAGAAGAGCGGCACCCTTTTTCAGAAAATAATTTATGGTTCGGCCAGGAGTCATATAAGCATGTGTAATTGATTGGCTAATGACACAAACTACATAAAAAGTGAGAGGCATCAGATGAACACTAACAACTATCCTAGAGGACCCAGATTTTGCAGCTGACATAACTCTCAGTTCTCAAAAAATCTGCAAGAAAATTTTAGAAATATTTAAAAGATTTATTTATTTTACAAATGGAGTTGGACTGAAACTATACATTAACCAAACCAAAGTTATGCAGCAAAATACATCTAGTCAAGGACCTATTAAAATAAACAACACATGAGTAGAGGAAGTAAAAGATTTCACATATCTAGGCAGTATAGTCAATTATGAAGGAGACTGCACTGCTGAAATTTAAACACGCATATCTAAAGCCAAACAAGGCTTTGCAAAAAACATGGCGATTGAAGAAAATCTCCTCCAAGACCTAATGCAGACTTTTCAATAGTAATGTCCTTAGCCTGCTTCTGTATGGCAGCAAATGCTGGAAAGTAACAACTGCTACCAGCAGATCACTGGACTATTTCCAAACTAAGTACTTGCAAAGGATAAAAGGTGTGCACTGGCCCAACACTATCTCCAACACTACTAGGAGAGATGGAAATGAAAGCAGTTTCCGAAATAATAAAAAAAAACAAGATGGCACTGGATGGGGCACAACCTAAGAATAAATTCAGTTTTTACTTTTATTGCTTTTATTAAATGCATATTTTTCTTTTCTCAGGTAGCAGCTGCTTTAGACAGAGAAACCACAGCAACTTACACGATAACAATTCGTGTCAGTGACAAGGGGACACCATCTTTGTCTGATCAAATAGATGCTGTCATTACAATAACAGATGTGAATGACAATGACCCAGTATTCTCCCTTGCTGCTTACACTTTTAATGTGAATGAAAACTCCAACACAGGCACAGCAGTTGGAACAGTCACAGCAACAGATGCTGACTCAGGTGTTAATGGAGCCTTGACCTACAGTTTTGACACCTTCACACTGGGGACATCTTCTCATTTTGCCATCAGTGGCTCTACAGGAGCCATAACTGTGGCCACAGCTGCTTTAGACAGGGAAACAATGTCTACTTATAGCATTTCGGTCAAGGTAAAAGATAATTTACTTTCAAAAAATGTTTATTTCAAAGATTCACGTCCATGTAATTGACTATTTAAAGCTAAGCTTTCCTTATCCAAAATCCATTCTGTTTTTATTGAAGCTATTTTGAAAATACTCTTACTAAACCTATATACATGATTTTTTTTCCCAAACTTTTATATTCAAAATAATCTTTTTATATTTGACCGTTTGTAAATTCCCATCCTATGAGTCAATTAATTTTTCCTTGCTCTCCTAGTTTGATTTTCTAACTCATTTGGACATTGGTTTAAAAAAATTAAATTCTATATAGCTTGTATAAAGCATTTAGATAAATACTATTTGACTAAAGTAAGTTAAAAAAAAGTGTCAGTTGCAGTGAATGGTGTAGTATCAGTCTGAGTAACTTCTCTGGCAAATTTTCATCTAGCCTAAATATAAAAATCACTACTTCAAGTATACCTTGTACATTTATGTACAAATACTGCATGCTGTTTTTGCAGGTGGTAGATTCAGGGACACCACTGTCCAGAACATCCTACACTGTTGTTACTGTCTACATTGATGACCTGAATGATAATGCCCCCATCTTCACCAAGACATCTTACAGTGGTAGTGTTAATGAGAACAGTGCCACATCAACTTCTATACTCAAGGTGTCAGCCACTGATGCTGATATCAACACCAATGCTGCCATCACTTACAGCATCAATACAGTTCTGTTGGATGGGGCTAATGCTAACACTTATCTTCAGGTTGGTCAAACTACACAATTTATTGCTTCTGTTAATATGGTTAAAATTATAAATCAGACCTTTGGGTCTCCACCACATTTAACAACTTTGTTTTTGTTCTCAGATTTCTTCATCAACTGGTGTGATCACACCAAAAACTTCCATTGACTATGAGACTATACAAAAAATAACATGCGTTGTGGTAGCAACAGATGGTGGGACCCCATCTTTAACTGGGACAACAACTGTAACAATAACAATACTAGACACCAATGATAATAGCCCTGTCTTTAGGTCAGTAAAATTATATAATATTTTTTTTGTCTTCTATTTAAAACCATTAGCCGACACAAAAGTAGAACATCACTTTAATAACACCAGGGCTTATGTTTATTTCTTCTCCAGTCCAACATTTTACAACACTGAAGTAGCCTACAGTGGTGACTGTGAGAGCACCATCACAACAGTAACAGCCACAGATGCTGACTCTGGCAATAATGGATTGATCTCTTACTCCCTACAGACCTCACTTTACAACTATTTGTTTACTGTTGATTCCAGCACAGGTAGTTTCAATAAAATAGTTTGAGCAATGCTGCTGTCTTTTTCAAATTGTAAAACATAATTTTAAATTTAAACATGATATTGTTTGGAGGTCAATACTGAATAAACTTATTTTATATATTGAAATTATGTAGCTTTTAATTTTTATCCTCTTGTTATGAGATAATATTTTGTTTTTGACTGATACTAATACTGAATAATATTAATATTGCTGAAAAATCAACCAACTAGTAACTATTGCCTTTTTATACAGGTAAAGTGAGTCTGTCCAGTATAGCTGAGGCAGACACCACTTACTCACTGGACATTCAGGCCAGTGATGCAGGAAATCCTATCAAAACAGCAACATCACCTGCTAAAGTTAGGGTAGATTCTTATGTGCCAAATAACCATGTTGTTACTTTTAGGCTCAAGATAAGCAGGTAAATATTTTCATCTACAGCTGGTTTCAATAATTTTATTATGCCATTGTCAAAATTCTCTAGTATAAACCTAAGTATTTATGTTAAAACCTAGCTATCTCTATACAGGGCAAGTTTCTTGGCCCAACTGAGCACATTTCTGACCAACCTTCAGACTGTGGTCAGAAACACCTATCCCACTGCCCTGGTGCGACTGTGGTGTGTACAAGAGTATGATGGTGTGGCACAGCTTCCTCCCAGTGGAAGACGAAGGCTTTTGGCAACTCAGTAATATTAACGTTTTTAGATAAATGAAAATTTACTTTTTTAATTACACCAATGTTTGGGAATTTACCAATCAATTCACATATTAATTTTTTTAAAAGTAGATGTTTCTGTGTTGCAGTTGACTTTCATTTGATTTGACCTCCTTTCTACAGGCCTGTAGATGCCTTCTTGTATGTGGTCAAAGATGATACCACCAACAGCTTGAGCAACATCAACACAGAAAAACAATTTCTCACCCAAGATGAATTTTTATCTCTGGTGGCTGCAAACCCTGAGGGGGACCCTGGCACTAGTATACAAGGTTCAGATGATTTAATTATGTTGTAAACTGGTAAACTACTTATCAAACAGTTCTTGAAATAAATAAAAATCCATTGCATTAGACATAGAACAAGACTTCCATGCAATTGCTTTTCATTATAAATTAATAAATATCTTCTTCTTTGTGCTACTAATAATGTTTTCACAATAATTCTTGAATATGACAAGAAATGATCACTTCTTTAAATTTTTAAAAAATGAGATTTCATGATTACCTGTTTGTATATTCATGGTTGATAGCATCTGACCTCAAGAATCTGCAGTAAAATATTTTTTTCTGGACAAATTAACTGTTTGTTGCATTTATTATTATTAACTCTTTGGAATATTTAGGTACTGCATGGAATTATTACAGAATAGAAAGTGTAAATCCTTACTACCAGGCCTCAGAGAGTTGGTGGGACACTGACTATGGAAAGATAATTACAGCAATTGCTTGTCTACTTGGATTGTGTATGCTGGGTCTCCTAATTTACTTCATTGTCCGTTGCTGTTGCTATGGAAGATTCAGGTAATAGCTAAGAGTTGCTATGTGAGGTTCAGATTACAGCTCACTGTTTAAGAGCAAATTACATCCCACACTATTAGTTTTAGATTTCTCTTGTAATTATTAGTTTTGTCACATTTCCAATGGTTTAAATTACATATAACAATCTTAAAATAAAACATGCACCCATCTCTTACACCAAGCCTATAAGCTTGAATGCAAAAAAAACAATTTCCATTAACATTAATCTTGCGTCTCTGTGCTCCCTAAAAAAACTCAAGGCACCAAGATAGTGTTCCCTTTACTGAGGGCTGATCCGCGCTACTAGTCCTGTCGGCCTGTCATCCGGAAGGGCAAGGGGGAGGGTCAGGCTAGACCCGCCCGCTACTAATGGCACACGTTGCCTGTCCATCCCGTCCACCTGGGTCCACCACACACCGTGTTCTGGTCTTGCGTCACCGTAGGCACACCGGTGGAGCGTCCGCTTGGTTGGTCCGGAGATGACGCATCCGCCTTTCACCACTGGCTCTCCGACTGTTACCCGCCTCCAATGATCGTGTGCCCGACTCGACACACCTGTGGGGCGGGTGTCCAGTAGCCCTCTTTGTGGGTCAAGGGGTGTTCGCTGTAGGCCTGTCGCTGTTCACCGGTCTGCCGTACACACCAGATCCGCGCCACGCCCGTGTGTGTTGTCCAGTCTAGACCACACGAGGCCGCCATCTTCATCACACGCCAGGTCCAGTGCCACACACCGTGCTTTGTCCAGCCACGCACACTGAAGGCTCGTCGAGGCACGTCTCTCCGCCAACCTGACTGGGTGTTTAAACAACAAACAATTCCTACACTAAACAAAAACTAAACACATATGGTTCCAAAAAGGGCCTATCAAAACAAAAAAATTTAACTAAGCTGCACTTAGTCCTAACAAAAAAACAAAAATTTAACTAGACTAAAGCACTGACCCCACTCGTGCTACCAATTTGTAAGCCCTGCTAGGGGGGGATACCTAATATCTACCCTTCTAGGCTTATCTAACTTTTTACTGTCCGGTCAGTGCAAGTCCGGTAACCCAGACTGGTTAATAACCTAACCTTAGTCTAAATTAAAAACAAAAAAAAGCTTTAACAATAATATAAAATTTATTGCATGGAACCAAAATTATATAGATTCTAAATAAAAAATAGATTAACAAAACAGAACTTTAACGTAACAAAACACTGTAACAAAACTAACTTTTTACAGCAAAGAAAACATTACGTTTGACCATTTGCTGGTGTTGCACCGACTTATGATGTCTAGGATGGTCCAGGCCCTGACACACAGAAACCTCCCTTCATCCATTCTCGACATCCAAAAGTCCACACCAAACAAAACACAACGTAGAACCACTACGTACAATACATTACGTAGAAAACAATACGTACACAACAAACTTTTTACACCAAACAAAACAATTCATATATAACAAAACACCCAGCCAAGTTGCCCAAGCAACCTCACTGGAAGGGGGGGGGGGGAAGAGAAAAAGAAAAGGAAAACATAAGAAAAATGCATGGTAATGGCAGATATATACATAAATATATACACAAGTTCAAAATGCTACCTACTACTTCTATCTAGCTAAAGCCTCGAGTAAAACTAATCCTTACTATACAATTCTAAAAGCAATTCTCAAAAACAACTAACCACTGTCTAAAGAAGAACTAGCAACTTAAAAATAACGTGTAAACAAATTCATTGTAGAACCAATCTTTCCTACACAAGGAGCAGCCCGAAGCCATTGGTCTACATAAACAATACCCATATTGATAACATTAAAGTTAACACACTCCGCTAAGGCCCCAATGAAGGCAGACACAAAGCAAGCGATACTCAACATGACGTTGCACGAAACAGCACACACATTAATTTTAAACAACCTAAAAACTCGAGGCAACTAAAATATACTAATCTAATTACTGTCTAAAACAACCGACTATTGACTAAGCCAATCCTAGTCAATAACACATCATAAAACAATCAAGTAAATGCACACACGCATTCACACCAGTTTAGGAAACACTCCTAAACACACTGGCCTAAACCACGTGGTCCGAAACACACGCCACGGGTTTAGAAAACACCAAAAATACATTTTAATTCAAAATAACACACCACGTGCATACCAGACATGCCGATGCTCACTATCTCGTTTTAGACGAAAATGAAAGAAAACGAGAAACATCGACAGTCGCATTCATACAAATCACATAAAGATAAAGTATAAAAAAACAAATACCTCCAACGCACAAAGCGCGACCACAGAAGCTGACCTGACCTACATTCTGGCGGTCAAAAAAAGGAAGAAATTATCCGAGTGGTCAGTTTATATACTGACCACTTCGGACGGAAGGGGGACCCCGTGGCCTGTTCCCCATTGGACCGATTTGGACCACCATGCACTCCCAAATTCGCAACAAATAAAATTAATACAAAATAAATAATCCATTCACCCGCTCACATTTATGAATCTTTATAACACAAAATATATTTCTGTCCCATTTTCTGACAGCAACTATTTTAATTTAAAAATCAGCTTTAATTAAATATAACTTCAATTACTTACATAATTGATTGCAGACCAGCTAAGAAGAATAATAGAAAGCATCGTATCATGGAAATTGAACCTATCAAAGAACCTCCAAAACGGCCATATGAAGCCTTTGGTTTGGAACCTAAACGAGGTATAATGCAAATACAATTGTTTCAGGGAAACTGCACTTTGTTTTCAATGCATATTCGGATTCTCATTTCTTCCCAAGTATTTTAATTATGTAAAGAATTGTTAGCAGTTTTTATTTATAACCACCAGAATTAAACCAAAAAGTATGTATGAAATGAACTTATTTTCTTACACTCAACAACATGAAATACATTCACTTATATTGTGTGCTTTTAAATCATCAATCAAAATTTTTTTTTTAAATTTCTTGTAGCTCCTGATGACTTTGGTGGTCAGCCTTACAGAGCTGCTTTCCCACCCATGTTGATTACAGACCCTGCAGATGTAAGTGTTTAGTTACTCATGGTTCATTGAATTTTAATCTTTAAAATTCAAGCCGTCTTACGGAGTATGTCACTATTAATGAGCTATATTTTTTTTTAATATGCAGATTAAATAGTGATTGTTTTAAATCTATTCAGGACTTCAAGCCTCGGCTAACAACATCTCATCACACAGTCTCCACACGCTCATCTAAAACCCCTCGATCACTGCTTATTACAACAAATGATGAATTATTACCCCCTAATATAGTAAATAATAGAGACTTTGATGGAAGAGCAATGGACCATGGTAAGCTATAAAACTATATCAATAATTGATGGAACATGGTAAAAACCTATTGTTAGTAACAGATTAACTTGATTAACTGAATAACTTTTAAAGCACATTTAACATGATGACTAATTGTTTCAGTGACTGGTAAGATGTATGAATACAACACAAAGACTAATGAACGCAGGTGGATTGAATAAACATCCTAAACACAACTTACATAATACCTCATTACCTGTACATAATCTATCAGCATAATTGATGCTTCCTTGTTATTTTTAAATGTTATCAATAACATATATAATGTAACTTTTTTCTTTTTGAATAATTTCTTTTTAGGTAAAGCAAAATTGATGTTTTTATTCACATTTAACCATTTTTCAGAGATTTTTCAGAATACCTTCCACCACCTCCCCCCCCCCCCCCCTCCTAAAGATGCCTGAAAGAAATTTTGTTAACCATTCTTGTTTACTACGATACTTAGAAAAATTACTAGTTAAACTTATCATACTTGTTTAAAGATTTAAAATGATTATAGAAAATTTTTTACTAAATTTTTATTTGTTATCAATTTTTTGAAATGAGATATGCCTATTTGAGATAATTTTTAAACATAAATCAATTAAAACATTTTGATACTAATTTATTTTTTAAAACTGCTATGACTGTGATAAAGAAATACTCATTGTTTTGTTATTTCTTGCATAAATGTCTAATAGCACCAAAAATAAATTAAAACTCTGGTGTTTCTTTAGAGTTCCCATAACATTTGATTAAAAAAATTTTTTTAACTTTGAACAAAAATTTGATTGCACACATTAACTTTGTTTATATATTATAAAACCTTGTTGTACACTAGTTTGTTTATTTTCCGTTTTTTTACTTAAGCAAACTAATTCAATATCAGAGAAATATGCATTATTTTTCCTAAATTATAAACTTATTTCTATTTGTTTAGATGCTGTGTTGAGAAAATAAATACTAGGTAATTGTGCTAGTATTTTACATTTATACATCATTGGTTTTTATTTTTACATTTGTATTTGGCATTTTGTTATTGTTTTAACATTTGGTTTTTGTTATTATTTTGACATTTATTTATTATCATGCGACGATAGTGTCAGTGCACTTGACGGTAAATTTTATTGTTTTTCCTCTGGCGCTTTACCTGTAAGAAAGGTATTTAAATCTGTACACAAGTATTTTATAAAACTTTCGTGTTACATACATAATTTCTGTCTGCTGGAAGTAAACATGCATCCATGACATTACAGTATTACTAACTGATGTTTATTGTTTAGAAGTTTTTATCATTATTTTGTTTTCAAATTAATTTTTTATGAAGTGTAAATATTTCTATAAACTTAATGAACTATATATTTTTTTTTCCAATTAATAAACTATTAGAACTAATGCGTATTGTAGTTATTATTCATACTAGAATAACATGTTTAGTGTAGTATAAATTTGATGTAGGCCCGCTCAGATTTACAATCTCATGGTTCACACATTTTAATGTTTAAACATATCAATTATTTTGTCCGAATAACTGATCTTAACATCCTTATTTTTTATTGCTTACAAGGTTTCTGCTTACACTATATTGGTTTTTTGTCATATGTCTATTAGGATCTGATTGTCTTTAGGGAAGTTGTAGTATATTGCAACAATTTCTGAGGCACTTAGAAAAGACATTGAAGGTAAATAGCGCACTTCTCTCTCTCTCTGTCCACACAATTTTTGAGGCTATGATATCAGCATCTTCAGGGATATATGGAGAACTTAATGATATGGATTTTTGTTGAAAATAATATGTTGGATGCATTAAATGTATAAGCTAAATTTTATTTAAAGAATAAATATAAAATAAAGGCATATTCGATTTGGCGCACCCTGCTACCCTGTGAGCTCTATGGTACATACGTTCGCTTTAAAGTGTGTGATAGACTGTGAATAAAAAGGGTTACTATAGTCATTCACTAAATCGATTCCAGGGCGTCCTCCGGACCCCGGACAGTGCGATATTGAGCGCCTGGACTTTTTCATGAGCGCTTCGGCGTCAGTTTCGTTTTAAACAGTGCGATAGTCTATGGATAAGAAGAAGGGTTACTATAGTCCTTCACTAAATCGAATCCAGGGCGTCCTGAAGGGGTGCCATTTGGAGCCCCGGGCCTACGTTCGTTTTATTAAGTACAATACACTATGGCTTACATGGAGTATTATAATCGTTTACTAAGCCGAATCAGGCGTGTCCGTCGGCAGGATGCAATTTGGCGCCCTGGCTATACTATGAGCACTATGCGTTTATGTTTGCGTTTAAGTTTGCATTTATGTTTGCATTAATTTCCGCGTTATTGTCTGCGATTATGTTTGTATTTTCGTTATGTTTGTGTTTGCTTTTATATTTGGGTTTTAGTTGGTTGTGGTTATGGTTAAGTTTTAAAGTTAGGTTTAGGGGTATGTGTTATTTTTTTTCAAATGTCCGTATCTGCATATTATAGACATTTAATTGAAAAAGTAAAATATTTCCTAAACCCGTACTATGCCGGGTAAATACGCAAGTCACGGTCCTTTACAGATAGGTTTTTCACAGAGGCAATAGCTAGGCCTGGCCAGGACGGCTAGTATAATATTATTTTGTCATATTCTGAAAAATGTTATAGAAATTAGTAAAAAGGGTTAAGTACCCCTTCCGATTAGGGAAAATCGTCTTAAAGTTGTTAAAAACCAACATAAAAGATCTAATAATTATAGGCTTTATGCAAGTTTGTCAACCTAAGTAAAAGTTTACAAGTTCTTGATTGGATTAAAATACCACTTCCGTGTACCGGAAATCAATCACAAGTTGATAGAAACCAACGTATGAGATCGTATTTTTATAGACTGTTGGAAATCCTTCTGGTGACAGCAACGCAGTTTGGGTAAAATACGAGAAATGCGAAATGTAAAATTACAAGGCGGTAAAATGTGAGGAGGCTGCGAAAAAAATATTGCTTTCCTTAACAAAAGCATAGATCGCTAGAATATGTGTAAGCCCTGCTAGTGGGGTGGGGACTGTTCTACTATACCTTGCCTAGGCTTAACTAAATTAACTGTCCGGTCAGTGCAACCGTGGAAGACCCACACTGGTTAAACCCCAACCTTAGTCTAGATAAAAACACAAAAAAGCTTTAACAATTTAATAAAATTTATTACATCAAAAATGGAACCAGCAATAAAAACGTAAACATGAAGTCAAATTCAAAACATCCTAATCCAACACTAAACAAACAAAACACAACGTTCGATGGGATATTATGTACCTTCGATGCCTCGGATAGTCAAGGCTCTGAACACAGACAACCTTCCTATCCACTACGGCAACCGAAACGCTGTCTAATATCCACACCAAACAATACATACAAAACAATAGTAAAAAACAATACGTACAAAACACTACATACAAAACAATATATACAAAACAATAGTACAAAACAATACTTACAAAATAATACTTACAAAATAATACGTACAAAACACCCAGCCAAGTTACATAAGCCAGGGGGGAGAAAAAAAATAAAGAAAACATAAATAAAATGCATGTAAAAATATATACATTAATATATACACATGTTTAAAATACTACTACTACTAGATACCTAGCTAAAGCCTCGAGTAAAATACGTAAAAATAAATTCTTAAAGCACATCTAATCACTGTCTAACCAAGAACTAGCAGATTAAAAATAACGTGTAAAACTAATTCATTGTAGAACCAATCTATTCTACACAAGGAGCAGCACTAAGCCATTGGTCTACCTACACACATACACATTGATAACAATAAAGTTAACCCCCCCCCCCCTCCCCCCCGCTAAGGCCCCAATAAAGGCAGACGACTCAACATGACGTTGCAAGAAACATACAGATTAACTTTAAAGCAAACTAAAACCGAGGCAAACTAAAATATACTAAATACTGTCTAAGACAAACAGAACAAAATTACTTGTGACTAAGTCCAATTTAGTCATCGTGGGGAACCCACAATAACAATACATTAAAATATTTAAGTAAAATACACACACGCATTAAAACCAGTTTAGGAAAACTCCTAAACATATTGCCCTAAACCACGTGGTCCAAAACACACGCCAAGTCGCTTTCATACAAATCACAAATATACATATAAAATATTATTAAAAAACAAATACGCACGAGGTGCACCAAGCGCCCACACAGAAACTGACCCCACCTACATTCTCGACTCGGGTCAAAAGAGAGAAAAATCCGAGCGGTCAGTTTAAATACCCGCCTCGGGCGGAAGGGGAAACCCCGTAGCCGCTGACCAGTAGATCATTCACGCACAGATTCGCATACAATAAAATAATACAAAATAAATAATCCATTCACCCGCTCACATATGTAAGAGATAGGTCTCATCCTAAGTGACCATCGCTCAGACTAAACTAGAAAAACCCTAAGCTCACTCCACTAATTCCACAATCCAACACCCAATCATTTATCCCCCGTCACACACACGACCCATACTCCACACCACATACATACATAACGCAGAGAAGACCGAAACCCACACCATCTCGCTGCATACCCTAAAGCACCTCACCCTGCACGTCATCATGAATAACACAACGAATCGAACCCCACACAGCCCCGCCACACGTCACTATATGTCCGAACACCACTCAACAACACGAAACACAACTTCACACACTCCACTCCGCAAATAAATCTACATCATACAACATAAAACATAATATTAAAACCACACTCTACGACGCGCATCCCACGCACCACAATACATTAATCACTCCACTAAAACTTAGTTTAATGGTCTCAAAACCCACGTCACACCCAACTTTCACGACCTAGGAACCACACTCCGAGCGAAACTCTACACGAACCCGCGATACACCCTATCCCCAACATCGAACCACCTTACACCCCCATACTCCACACCACCCCAACCCTAAAGCAACACAACACTTACTAACACCACTATGCACACGCAGTCATACACACCACTTCCCATTATGCACACGCTGAGTATATTAAAGCACATACTACCCCTCTCCACGGTGAACGGAAAAAAAGTCACAGGAAAAAATAAACCGGGAGTGATCTCCCCTAAACTTTCTCGAATATTCTTATATAACTTGGAATATAGACATGATTTTTAATTACTTAAACTTTTAAAAATAGAATAGAATCTCATAGAAAAAAGAATTGCGAACCAAGCGAACGCCAAAACAAAATATGCATAATAGTGCGCAGTATTATTAGTACTTTATAAATTTACATGCGTTTTTTGAGAAATCGGAAATAGCGTAAATTAGTACTTCCGGTCAACGGAAATTACTCAAAATTTGACGCAAGGTAGAGAATTAGATCTTTTACTTACAAGTGAAATTTTATCTATCTGCAATAGTACTCAAGTTATAGGCTTTTGAAAAATTCAAAGTAGAAAAAGTACCACTTCCGGTAATGGGAAATCACTCAAAAGTTGATCAGGATCTACGATTTTGATAAAATACTTACATATGAAATTTCATCAACCTAGCTGGAATGTAGGTTTCAAACATCATTAAAAGTGCATAAAGCTGTGGACTATGCGACTGTGACTCAGAAGTACTGGACATCAAAGTACCTGACTCACCTACAGATATTTCACTCACCGTCATCGTCATAGTGTCGGTAAGAGGTCTAAGACTGCTATCCCGAAAGTCTCGAGTTCGGACCCCGGGCTTGAGTCCGTAGGACATTGCTAGATCCACCCAGCTCTGATTGATACCTGGCTAAGGTTATGTGAAGTAAAGGCAGCTGGGCCTAGTGCTGGCCACCCTATCATTCGTTATGCCGAGGTCATAGAAACAGATGGACTTTGTTTCATCCGCTCCATTGACCACCATGTTCGAAAGGGTAACTGGCGGTTACCTTAAGGCTGTTTGTGTAACTTAAATGTGCAGTACATGTCAAGATAGTGAGGTGCTTTAACATGGACAATTTACACATCTGCATCCATCTAAAAGGGTAAAATGTTACAAGAGCCACACTTTACCATTTCTGAATACGACGTCATATTTTCAAACTACGGCCCAATAACTCGAGTCAGTGACTGTTATAGAGTTTGTTGTCCATGCGTGACCCGGCATAGAGCTAAGAATTGAATAGCTGTTTCATTGCGCCAGAATGATACAAAGACCGGTTTATGATTGCTCAGATTTGTTGAGCATGTAGCCTAGAGACCGCTTGCCGCGGACGAAAATCAATAGACCTACCACTTCTGATTTATTCAATCATTTCCTCTAATCAGTAAAATATGTTCACCTCTGACAAAACCCTGTTGTTGTAGACAGGTGTACAGAAAAATCGTTCGATCAATTGACGGGGTTCTTTGATGCAATC